TCAAGTCGGCGACGGGCGCCGACTCACCGTGTGTCTCGTGTGTCGGCGGGAAGCTGGCGAGGCACACCTTCCCCGACCACGGCTCCGACGCCGACGACGTGTTGGCCGTCGTACACATCGACTTGTGCGGGCCATTCCGCGTGGCTGCCAAGGACGGCAGCCTGTACTTCTTGCTGCTAAAGGACCGCAAGACTCGCTACGTGTGGGTGCGGCCGGTCGCCAAGAAGTCCGACGTGCTGCGGGAGTTCGAGCAGTGGCTGGTGATGGCGGAGCGACAGACCAAGAAGTCGGTGCTAATGCTGCGCTCTGACCGGGGAGGGGAGTTCCTCGGAAAGGACTTCACCGCCCTCGTGGACGGCAAGGGGATCCTCCACGACCTCACCTGCCCATACACTCCGCAGCAGAACGGCATGGCGGAGCGGGAGATGAGGACGGTGGTGGAGTCGGTGCGGACGATGCTGCTGCACATGGGCGTCCAGCACCACTGGTGGCACCTCGCTTTGCGGCAGGCTGTCTGGGTCCGCAACTGCCTGGAGCGGTCGGCGACGCCGGGGACGACACCGTACCAGTTGCTCACCGGGAAGAAGCCCGACTTGTCGCTGGCGCGCGTGTGGGGCTGCATGGCGCAGTTCCTCGTCCCCGAGCAGCAGCGTGGTGGGAAGCTGAAGCCGAAGGCCCGATGGGGCCTTCATCTCGGCGTGTCGGAGGAGAGCAAAGGCTGGGAGCTCCTCGACATCGCCGAAACGGGTGGTCACCACGTCGGACGTGGTGTTCTACGAGGACATGTCGCTGGAGGTGTGGAAGTCGGAGCACGGGCCAGTGTCCGGACGGACGCCGAGCACTCCGCCGACCGACACCTCGACGGCGACGCTGCCTCTGCTCGCGGAGGTCGGTGAGCTCGCTGCTGGGGACATCGAGGTCGACCATCCTCCTTCCCCTCCTCCCACGACCCATGTTTCTCCCCTCGTGGCCGACCTGCGTGGACTGACTCCGGTGTCGGCCTCCGGCGATGAGGGGAGTAGTGGGACGTCGCCTGCGGCCAAGAGCATCGCCGGTGGCCGACGTGACGAGCAGCAAGTCGACGTGGGAGTGAAGTCGACGTGGATAAGGGAGGAGCAGGTCGAGGAGGTGCAGCCGACTTGGGTGAAGCCGACAGGGGAGCAGGCAGCAACAAGGGCGACCAGGGAGCAGCCGGCGACCTGGCAGTCGGCAGGGGAGCTGACCGCAGGGGAGGAATCGGTCGGGACGCCGACCGAGGTGCAGCAGGACGACGAGGACGATGAAGGGGAGCAGTTGGGCGACGAGGAGTCCACCGACAGTGACGTGGGAGAGGCCCAGGCTGGACCACGGCGTACAGGCCGCCTTCGGAGGCCTCCCGACTTCTTCGTCCCGGCTGCCTTCACCACGGTGTATGACGTGGTCGACGAGGACGACGACCTGCTGTACGACGACGTTGATGAGGATGTAGACCTGCTGGAGCTCGACCCCGACATGCACGCCGACCCCGAGCACCGTTGGGATATCTCCACGATGACGGTGAAGGAGGCGCTGGCTAGCTGGAAGGGTCCGGCGGTGAAGGCCGCCATGGAGGAGGAGATCCGCAGCCTCATCGGCATGGGGACGTGGGAGCTGGTCGAACGCCCACCCGGGGTCAACATCATGAAGAACCGGTGGGTGTTGACGACGAAGTACCACATCGACGACACCGTCGAGCGCGAGAAGGCGAGGCTGGTCGTGAAGGGCTTCACGCAGGTATATGGCGCCGACTACGACGAGACGTACGCGCCGGTGAGCAGCTACGTCACGCTGCGGATTTTCCTCAGCATCGTCGCCGTCTTCGACCTCAACCTGATGCAGCTCGACATGAAGAATGCCTTCCTGCAGAGCAAGCTCGACCGCGTGCTGTACATGTACCAGCCGGACTACTTCAATGACGGGACCGGCCGGGTGTGCAAGCTGCTGAAGAGCCTGTACGGGCTGAAGCAGTCGCTGCTGCTGTGGTACAAGGCTCTCAACGACGTGCTGGTCGGCGCTGGCTGGAAGAAGAGTCAGGTCGACGAGGCTCTCTACTTCAAGGTCGGCGTCGACAAGGTGACCTGCTGGGTGCTGGTCTACGTCGACGACCTGCTCGCCGCCAGCAGCAGCCCCGAGATGCTGAAGGAGCTGAAGGAGCTGCTGGAGGCCGCCTTCAAGCTGCGCGAGATCTCGCCGGTGCAGAAGTACCTCGGGCTGGAGATCGTGCGCGACAGGTCGGCGGGGAAGCTGTGGCTGCACCAGCAGGGCTACGCCGACAAGCTGCGTAGGCGTTTCATCGATGAGGAGCAGGGCGGTCGGACCCCGAAGACGCCGGTCTCGGTCGACGCCTACGCCGAGCTCACCTTCGACGACGAGGAGGCGCAGGAGCGACAGGAGGAGGAGTACCGGCAGAAGGTCGGCTCGCTGCAGTTCGCGGCGACGACGACGAGGCCGGACATCGCCTTCGCCTGCAGCAAGCTGGGGAGCGGCCTCACGGTGAGGAGCGACCAGCACTGGCGCGAGGTCGACCGCTGCCTTGCCTACCTCGCCAACACGCGTGACACCGCCCTGGAGTTCGGCGGTGGACTTGAGTCGTTGGAGCTGGTCGGCTACGTGGACGCCGACGATGCCGGCGACAAGCAGAACAGGACGAGCACGGGCGGCTACGTGTTCGTCTACGGAGGAGCCGCAGTCTCCTGGTCGAGCCAGCGCATCAAGTGCGCGACGCTGTCGTCGACCGAGTCGGAGTACGTGGCGGCTGTCGAAGCTGGCAAGGAGGGACGCCGACTTCGCTTCCTCCTGGCAGAGTTCCAGCAGCTAGATGCTGGGAGGCCGACGGTCCTAAGGGTGGACAACAAGTCGGCCATCACAGTCGCCGAGGGCATGGGGTTGACGGGCAACCTCAAGCACATGGAGCGGCGACAGGCCTGGCTGCAGCACATGGTGAAGCGGGGGAAGTTTGCGCTGCAGTACATCCCGACCGCTGAGCAGCCGGCCGACTTCTTGACGAAGGCGCTGCACTATCCGGCCTTCAACCGGTGCTCCGTTGCAATCGGCCAAGTGCGTCTGGCCGACGTGGGCGACGGCGACGACGACGTGCAGCAGTAGGTGCCATGCCCTCTTGCATGGCTGGTGCGGTGGACAACGTGCTGTGGGTTGGGTGCACGTCGACGAGCTTGTCTCCGAGAAGTACTGTCGTGTGGGCTGGGGGCCCAAGCGTGAACGCGGCAGGGGAGTGTCAACGGGAGTTGTATGTTGGCCCCGTCCTTGCTTGGGCGGAGCCAACTTCGTGGTCGGGTGTAGGGTGCAGCCGACCTGCAGCAGTGGGCGAGTTGGTCGACGAGGTTGGTCGACCTGCACGGGGAGCCACTGCATGGGCGCCGACTTCGGGAGGGCGCCAACTTCGGCTGGTCGACCTGGTAAGTCGACCAGCCCTTCTGGTCGACTTGGGAAGTCGACCAGAGTCGACCAGACCTTCTGGTCGACCTGGAGTGACGTCGACTTGGAGCTGGTCGACCAGGGGGTAGTGGTCGACCTGGGGAGGTCGACTGGAGGTGGTCGTCGACTTGGGAGGTCGACCGGCACATACCAGAGGCAGTGGTCGACCTGGGGAGGTCGACCGGAAGTGGTCGTCGACCTGCGTGGTCGACGGGCACGCACAGGAGCATCTGGTCGACCTGGTTGCTCGGTCGACCAGGTTACCTGGGTGACGAGGTTCTGCGGAGGCATGCGACGTTCGCCCAGGTGATTTTGGCGAGGACGACCTTGGTGGTGGTATCCCGAGGTCGACGTGGCTGATCAGCAGCTGTCGTCAGCACGAAGTTGCCTTGGTGTGTGCGCTGTGCAGGTGACAAGGCACTGCACGCCAATCATCTGCGAGCACCTGCGAAGCGGGTGCGATGCTGTACTGCGGGAGCAACGCTGGCACGCCGTCGACTTGCGACGTTGGCACGCCGTCGACCTGCAGTGTTGGCAAGCCGCGACTCTGCACTGCTGGGGCGCGGTCGACCAGGTCGTGCTGGCACGCGGTCGACCGTGCTGCGCTGGCAGTCGTCCTGCTTGCATGCTAGCTCTGATGTAGTCTTGCCTTGCCAACTTCATTGTACCATTATTGTCAACTTTCTCTAGTGAAACTCTTGCCAAATTGCCCCGTGAACTAGCAAGCAGTGTGTACACTAGGAAAACGACTAAGGACCAACGAACGCAGAGATCACACGAGCACCCGTGCCTAGCCCGTAGTCTAGCTCCCGTTGTAGTAGTTATCTCCGCACTCTTTGCATCCTACCCTCTCCCTCCTGCTCCCAGCGAGCCACCATTCCTACCCCACAGCTTCCTCCTCCCGTCCCTCACTCCCTCCATAAGCACTCCTCCTTCTCCCTCAGTCTGCCTTGTCCCACCCACGTCTTTTGCCTCAACGCCCCCACCGTCTTTTGCCTCAACGCCCCCACCGTCTTTCGCCTCAACGCCCCCACCGTCTTTCGCCTCAACGCCCCCACCGTCTTTCGCCTCAACGCCCCCACCGTCTTTCGCCTCAACGCCCCCACCGTCTTTTGCGTCTGGATGCACCACATGGTCGTGGATGCACCACATGCTCGTAATTGCACCACATGGTCGTGCATGCACCACATGCTCGTGAATGCCTCACAGCCACGGGATTTTCGAGGAGACGGACGCGAGGGAGAGTAGGAGGGGGCGCAAGTAGGACAGGAGCAATGACTGATTCACCAATTTCTTCACAGCGGAGGGCGGGAGGATGGGAGACAGGGCGTGGTCCTGAACTGCCACTTGCACAATCTGTTGGGCAGATGGGGGAAAGACTGGCAGATGGGGGAAAGAGATGTGGTGTTGACATTGGTGGTGATGCCAGTGACTGTGACTGTAGCAGTGTTGACTAGGAGCATGCTGAAGAAACAGGGCAGGAAATAAGCAGTTGCGGCAGAGGGAGTGTGAGCAGGGAGGAAGCAGAGATGCTCGAGCGGGTGTGGTCATTCATCCGCCACCATGCCCCCCCCTCTCCCTCTCATGCCTCGCCTCCGCTCCTGCACGCCATGCAGCACCACCACCGCCTGCTGCCCTCCGCCCAAACCCACTCCATCCTCCTCCGTGTCTTCATTCACACCGGGCAGCTGTCCCGGGCAGAAAAAACTTCCCACGCCCTGCTGGTCGATGGCTTGGCGACGTCCCCTGCTGCTTGCGCTGCGCTGTGGATGGCCATGGGACGGGCGGGGGGGAGGTGGAGGGTATGTGGAGGAGGGTGGTCGAGACTCGACCCATGCATGTGGCGCGCATAGCAACGCATGTGGCGGCTTTAGCAACGCATGTGGCGGCTGGGGATATAGCCATGGCAGAAGAGGCGTTCTCCTCTCTGCGTGCCTGCACCCACCCGTCGCCTTGACCGTGATGCCTGTAACGCTCTTCTTAAGGGGTACACGCGAGCTTACATGCCAGATGCTGCGCTGCGATTGGTCGATGATATGCACAGGGCGAGCATTCCGTGCGGCACGGCAACGCTCTCCCTCCTCCTCTCCTGCCTCTCTCGCTCTCATCGCCTCTCCCATGCCACCGCCCTCCTCTCTCAACTGGCCACTGCTCCTGAGACCCCTGTAACCGTTGATCCTCCTGCCACCACCAAGCCTTTGACCTCTCCAGTTCATCCCGAATCCCTGCGCCTCGCCCATGCCACCGTTCCTTTGATCCTCCTGCCACCACCAAGCCTTTGACCTCTCCAGTTCATCCCGAATCACTGCGCCTCGCCCATGCCACCGTTCCGTTGATCCTCCTGCCACCACCAAGCCTTTGACCTCTCCAGTTCATCCCGAATCACTGCGCCTCGCCCATGCCACCGTTCCTTTGATCCTCCTGCCATCACCAAGCCTTTGACCTCTCCAGTTCATCCCGAATCACTGCGCCTCGCCCATGCCACCGTTCCTTTGATCCTCCTGCCACCACCAAGCCTTTGACCTCTCCAGTTCATCCCGAATCCCTGCCTGGGTCCGGCGTGTGTCTCCTCCTGCCTCTCCTCGCCACGCCCTTCCCTCCCACCGCCCCCGCTCGGGAAGCTGGGAGGCGTTGCAGATGTGTGGAGGGAGAGCAGTACCGGTAGCAGTACATGTGACAGCGTTTGGGGTAGGGGCACATCATCCCCACATACTGATGCTTGTGAATCTGCTCCCCACAAACATGAAGGTTCTTCTCAAGTATATAGTTCCCAACAATTTCCACAGCAACATCAATGCAGGCCCCAACCATTCTCATGTAAACTATTGACAGGCCCAATTCTTTTTACATATCTGTTGCACTACCGCAATATCTTGAAAGGTGATACCACACTTCAATTGCATCCAAAACACAATTAAGGTACAGTGTGTTGAACTTTCAAATGATGACCAGTCACATATACATAACTGATCAATCTAGTCAACAAGCTATTAGTGTAACATACTGTTGCAATGCAAGTAATCTACTTGGCACAACATCATCTACCTGTACAACAGATGTACCGGTATCCTGCAATGAACAGCATGGGGATGCTGCATTGACAGGAACCTAGCAGTGAAAGGACAAGGATGGGAAGCAGGAAAGGGATGGGAAATGGCCACAGCCGGTTGCTTGCAGCACCACGACCGGTTTCTTGCAGCGCCACAGCCTGTTTTCCTTGTCCCTACTTTGCAACATCCACTTCCTAACTTTATCCTTCATCCCTTCTCCCCTTCTCTCTGCTAAGCCCCTTCTTTGATTCACCCCTCCTTCCTTTTTTCTCTTTCCACCTTTGCTTCAATCCTCTCCCTTAACCTCCTCTCTACCTTACACCTCCAATTCACCCCTTCTCTGCTTCACCCCTCTCTACTTCACACCACCTCTACTTCTCCCCTTCTCTGCTACACTCATCTCCTTTTTCACTTCTCTGCTACATCCTTCTCTCTTTTTTCACTTCTCTCCTTCACCCCATTTCAACTTTGCACCTTATCCAATTCACCCCTTCTCTGCTTTTTCTCTTCTCTGCTTCACCCCTTCTCTCCTTTTTCCCTTCTCTGCTTCACCCCTTCTCTCCTTTTTCTCTTCTCTGCTTCACCCCTTGTCTCCTTTTTCTCTTCTCTGCTTCACCCCTTCTCTCCTTTTTCCCTTCTCTGCTTCACCCCTTCTCTCCTTTTTCCCTTCTCTGCTTCACCCCTTCTCTCCTTTTTCCCTTCTCTGCTTCACCCCTTCTCTCCTTTTTCCCTTCTCTGCTTCACCCCTTCTCTCCTTTTTCCCTTCTCTGCTTCACCCCTTCTCTCCTTTTTCTCTTCTCTGCTTCACCCCTTCTCTCCTTTTTCCTTTCTCTGCTTCACCCCTTCTCTCCTTTTTCCCTTCTTTGCTTCACCCTTTCTCTGATGTACCCCTTAACTCCTTTTTCCCTTATCTACTGTACCCCTTCTCTCCTTTTCCCCTTCTCCCCTTCTCTCCTTTCTCTGACCATTTGCAGCTTCCTTTGCAGCTTCTGTAGCACCCCTTAGCGGCTTCCTTAGCAGCTTCCTTAGCAGTTTCGTTAACAGCCCTAAGCAGCTTCGTTAGCGGCCTTAGCAGCTTCCCTCCTCCCTTAACAGCAGCTTCCCCACTCCTTCACCCCCTCCTCAGCACCCCCTCCTCTTTCCCTTCTCTGCTGTACCCCTTCTCTCCTTTAGCAGCTTTTCTCCTTTACTTCTCTGCTGTACCCCTTCTCTCCTTTAGCAGCTTTTCTCCTTTACTTCTCTGCTGTACCCCTTCTCTCCTTTAGCAGCTTTCACACCACAAAGGTTGATCCGCGCTCAAAGGTTGATCCGCGCTCAAAGGTTGATCCGCGCTCAAAGGTTGATCCGCGCTCAAAGGTTGCTACCGTGATGACCCCGCGCCAAGGGGTTGATCTGCACATTAAACAGACAAATGTCATCAGTAAAACGTAAATCGTAAAACGTAAAGAATAAAACTGAACAATTCAACAAGGCATAGAACGAAATCAACAAGACTGAAAGTAAGTAAAGTGTTTGAAGAACCAGTCTTGACTTACTTTTGCAGTGTTGAAGAACATGGTTGCCATGAAGCTGTTGCTGTGAAGACCCTTGAAGCTTCCAGTGCTCGAGGTCAACCCTTGAAGCTTGAAGTGCTGAAAGCTAGGGAGAAAAATAGACATAAGCACGAAGTTAGTAAAGAGCAATAAACGAAATGCAAAAATGAAAACAAGGTGGTGGGATGAGTGAGCGTTCATGATACGTATGGGCTGCAGCTAGCAGAGGGCGGAGGACTCTATGCTACCCAACCCGACTCTATCCTACCCAAAACCCGCGGAGGATCATCTGCTAAACTGCAGCCATACGTATCAGAGGGACGGTGAAATGCACAAAATGAATGACGAATGATGGAAAACGAAAACGAATACGAAAACGAAGCGGAGGGGAAGAACACTTCCCAGTTAAGCGAAAACACAGCAGATCGTTGATCATAGGCTTGAAAGCGCTCAGCCCGAAGCGCCCAAGCGCCAAACACGTTTGAAGCTTGCAGCGCTGAAGCTCCCGTCAACTCCCTTGAAGCTCCGCTGCCGCTGGAAAACAAGAAACGCACGGACAGAGGCACGAAGTTAGAAAACAGCAATAGAAGATTGGAAAGCAAAAGAAAACGAATGTGAAAACGAAAAAGCGAAAACGAGAGCGAAATCGACGGGAAAAACAAAACGGGATGGTGAGTGGACGTCCATTGTATGTATGGCTGCTGCTGGCAGAGGGAGGAGACCTCTATGCTACCCACCCGGACTCTATGCTACCCAAAACCCGCGGAGGATCGTCTACCAGCCGCAGCCATACGTACAAGCTGGACGGTGGAAACAAGGAAAAACGAACGATGGCGGAAATGGCAGTGAATGATGTGGATGATGACGAAAGCGAAAACGAAAGCACGAACGGGAAGGGAAGCAACACTTCCCAGTCAGAGTTGGTGACGAGAAGTGCAGCGGCATGTCCTTCACGGCTCGCCAGTCGCGCGCAAGTCTCGAGCCAGCCACAAGTTGAAAGGCAGCTTGTCATGGAGCTTGTGGAGTGGTTCAACGGTTGGAGCTTTGTAGAGTGGTTCGGCGCAGAATCAAAGGTCGCTGCTCGTGAGCTTGGGTACGACCAAGGACATTGACCCTGCAAAGATTGAAACAAACAAACAAGAACAAACAAGAACAAACTCAACCACGACATGCTTACCTCTCGAGATCAAGAGGTGGGCTGGGCGGAGGGCGGGTTGAAGGTTGGTGGTGCGCGAATGGTGGTGTTGATCCCGAGAATCAGTGAAGATCAGTGAAGCCCACGAGGGTCATTGGCTTGCTGGACGACAGCTGTGATGAGCGCCGGATGTTTGAGGAAGATGACAGCCTTTAATCCTGCATGCACAAGGAACAACGAAGGAGAATCAGATTATGTTTCAACATGGAAAAAAAAAAGTCCACATGGACATTCAAATATAAATTGCAGTGTAAGTGTTGCAAAAGCATTCACGTTGCGATGGAGTTACGTACCTCTGGAGATTGTGAGGTGGGCAGGGCGGAGGGTGGTGCGAGGATGGGGGCAGGTTGAAGGTTGGTGGTGGCGGCGAACGGTGGTGGTGGTCGATCTCCAGGGTTGACCAGCTTTGGTTGACGGATTGAAGCTTGAGTGGAGCGTTGTAGACGAGATTGCTCGCTCCAGCATGCGTTGTGTTGCGGCGCCCTTGTCATTGGTCTTGAGTAGCAGCAATTTGAAGGACCAAGGCGTTGTGCTTGCCAAGAAATAACAAAGTAGGTCAGATCGTGGTCCAAAAGGAACATCCATTAAACATGATGGTGTAAACATCAAGAAAATTTGACGTGACAACGCTTACCTCTGGAGTTTGAGAGGAAGGTCGAGCGGGGGGCGGGGGCGTGGATGGAAGCGGGTTGAGGTTGGGCGTTGAGGGAGAATGAATGTGGAGACTCCAGAGTCGACTAGTTGAAAGTGGATCGAATGTTGATCAAATCTGTGGGCTAGAGATGTAAATGCAAATTTCTGTGATATATAGTTTTGAGTCAACTAAACGGATGTGGTTCACGAGAGTAAGATTGAACTGCATGAAGGTGAACGTACGCCACGCCGAAGCATTGGGACAGAGTCCAACCGACCCAACTTTCTCGTCGCGGTTCGTGAAGCGTGGGTTGAAACCCTAACCTCTGCCCTAATGCAGAGGAAGCGGCTATCCTTCGCGGGTAATTTTGGGCCGCTCCAGTTCGCGGTTGATTTTCTCTTCCTGCTTTGTGAGGAGGCCCCTGAGCCTCCCTGGCTCAAGGGGAGCGTCGAGCGGAAGAGTTCCCCCAGCGAGTCCGAGGACCAAACCACTACAGTACAGAAAGTGGCAGGTTGCAGCACCATTGTGGTGTGGTCCACCACCACCTCTTGTGCATTTTTTTTTTGTGTACACCTTGTTCTCGATAATTGCACACCCCCTACCCTTTTTTTTTCATAGGCACCCTTTACGGGCTTTCACTTGATGCGACAGACACCCAGAGATTGAGGGAATATAAAGATATAACGGGCAGGTGCCTCTAGAAAGGACTCGCACTTAATGTTCAGGGTGAAGGGTTTAGTCAGGGTTGGGTTCTCTTTTATTTTCCTGGTCCACTCCGACCAAACCCGAAAGTCGTCGGACCCTCCTCCGCAGTTTTCCTAAACGCTGGTAACTACCCTACCCCAGGGTGTGAGATTAAGGGGTGTGCAATAATCGAAAACAGGATGTAGAGATCGCATTGGATGTACAGAATATCCGATTTTTAGAAGACGCTTAAATTAGTACCACTGTCTTTCAGTTGCTTAATAATGTGCTCGTAGTCCACATGCATTTTTGTTTTTGTTCTTCAAGTCACCCGGGGTGCTGGCAGCACCTTCTTCTAATCTCCACTGCATGCATCGCCTTCTTCCAATCTCCACTGCATGCATCGCCTTCTTCCAATCTCCACTGCATGCATCGCCTTCTTCCAATCTCCACTGCATGCATCGCCTTCTTCCAATCTCCACTGCATGCATCGCCTTCTTCCAATCTCCACTGCATGCATCGCCTTCTTCCAATCTCCACTGCATGCATCGCCTTCTTCCAATCTCCACTGCATGCATCCCCTTCTTCCAATCTCCACTGCATGCATCCCCTTCTCCCAATCTCCACTGTATGCATCCCCTTCTCCCAATCTCCACTGCATGCATCCCCTTCTCCCAATCTCCACTGCATGCATCCCCTTCTCCCAATCTCCACTGCATGCATCCCCTTCTCCCAATCTCCACTGCATGCATCCCCTTCTTCCAATCTCCACTGCATGCATCGCCTTCTTCCAATCTCCACTGCATGCATCCATTCATCAATCTGGCTCGTAGCTCATGCCCTCCCCTCGTGCCAGAATGACATCAACTCCTCTTATATCCCATATCTCATGTTTCATTTCTTTACCATTCACCTCCACAAATCTCATATCCTTATACCTCATGGACGAGGCTGTAGCGCGGATAGCCCTCTCAGTGTTGAGTGACGTGGCAAGCCATTCCCTGCTGCATGCTACAGCCGTGGCCAATGCGGGCGGCATTACCGCCGCCGTCTCTCTGTTGGGATCACCTGACGTCAAGACAAGGCGCCAGGTGTTGTCCTCGTAACTGACACCTATTGTTTCGATGCACTCACTTCACCTCCTTAAATCCATGTTTTTCCTCATGCGTCCCCGACACCCACTCCCAGCCTTGGGGTGATCACCTTTGCCCCCATCTGCACCTTGCTTGTGTCAGAATGTTATATTTGTCTAGCCTGCAGTGGGGTGCTCTGTAGCGAGTACAACCCTTCTAGGGTTTGCTATTTGTATCCCCATTCTTGCTAGTTCAACCCCCTCTTTTGCCTAATTTTCTCGACATGGTATCAGAGCAGGTCGACCCTCCTGGGTCGATCCTGTGGGTGGGCCCACCACCTAATGCTTCCGCTGCTGTACTTCCTGCCGGGCGCCTCGGGCGCGCGACGACTTCTTCCTAGGGTTTCGGCGGTTTTCATCCCGCCGTGCGCTCGGGGCGCGCGGCGGTTTTCTGCACGCCGTGCGCCCCGAGGCGCGCGGCGGTTTCCCACCGTCGAAGCGCCCTCCCCCCGTCGCCGTCGACCCCCCGCGTCGCCCCGCAGCCCCGCGCGTCGCCCCCGACGTCTCGTCGCGACACCTTGGGGAGCCGCGCGCGGCCCCCCGCTACCTCGTCGCGACGCCGTGGGGAGCTGCGCGCGGCCCCCGCTGCCTCGTCGCGACGCCTTAGGGAGCCGCGCGCGGCCCCCCGCTGCCCCGTCGAGGCGCCCTGGGGAGCCGCGCGCGGCCCCCGCTGCCCAGAGGTGGCGCCCTGGGGGTCGCGCGCCTTCCCCCTCGCCGTCCCCCGCGCTCCTTCTCCCTTTCGCCCGTTTTAGGGTTTGGGGGTGGGGAGTGTGGGGGTGGCGGCTGTGGGGGTGTCGGTTGTGCGTTACTCTACCTACTCCTCCTCCTCCCTAGTCTCCCTCTACTGCAGCTGCCGCTGAGGGGGGTGGTGTGTGGGAGTCTAGGGTTTGGGGTTTAAGGGGGGGTACCGTGGGAGTGGAGCTAGGGGTGAAGCAAGGGGTGTGTGTCGAGGGGTGTGGGACTGTTGGGGGAGGTTGAGCGGAGACTGCCGTCGTGTCGTCCGCAGCACCTGTATTCCGGGGTTCCGCGGACCTCCGGTAGCTCAGAGAGCCGGCTGCACCTGTCGCCCGTGGGTCCGCTGCACCCTCCGCAGCGACTATTACCCCTGTAGTCCGGGGCTCTGCTTCCGGTAGCCACTAGCGTTGCGCCAGAGCCGTCTGATGCCCGTGTGTCTGCAGCTTCAGTCGTCGCCTCCACTCCTTTCTCCTCTCGCCAGCCCTCCTCCTCCTCATTTGTCCTCTGTGACCGCCTCTAGCTTTGCTCATAACTTATAAACTGTTGCTTCTTGAACTTGTGCTCAGAATGTGTGGTGACATCGTGATCCACCCTGAGCTTGTACTGCTTTCCTTGCTCTGCTGATTACACCCCACTTTGGCTATGGGGGTGTGTCAGAATGTTATATTTGTCTAGCCTGCAGTGGGGTGCTCTGTAGCGAGTACAACCCTTCTAGGGTTTGCTATTTGTATCCCCATTCTTGCTAGTTCAACCCCCTCTTTTGCCTAATTTTCTCGACAGCTTGCTCCTTCCCTCCTGCTCTGCAGCTGCCCTCCCCTTCTCTCTGCCCGCTTCTGCACAACCACCTTGACTTTGCACCTCCTTTTCACCCTTCTGCGCCCATCTGACGACCCCATGTTGCCTCGTTGCACACCTGCTTGTCTTTCTGCTTCCCCTGTTTCCCCACCTATCTACCGGTTTGCACCCCTTACAGGTCTGCGTTTGCCTCTCTACCATCGCCAGGCACTCTGAAACCCTCGCCCTGGTAAGCACTGCTCAAAACCATCCCAAATCGTCCTGAACTGCTCTAAATCGCTCTGAACCGCTTTAAACTGTTACCCCTGGTACACCTACTCTCTGCACAGCATAGCCACTTGTCCGCCTACGCACTCGTCTTTTCCTCGAATCGGTGAGGGAGGTGGCGAGGCAGGGATCGGCAGCAGCAGGCCGGCTGGTGGGTATGGAGGGCATCGGGCCGCTGTTGGATGCTGTGGGCGCGTGGGGGGACGAGGGCGAGGGGGAGGGCATGACAAAAGGCTCTGCCAAGGTTTCAGGTCAGTAATTTGTGCTCCCTTTTTGTTCTCGTTTTGGTCTCTTTGTCATCTCCCGGGTCACACACACACACACACACACACACGCACACGCACACACACACACACACACACACACACACACACACACACACACACACACACACACACACACACACACACACACACACACACACACACACACACCACACCGATGCATGGAGTGCCTTCTGGATGCCATGCTGGCGGTGCGGGAGACTGCATGCGCATTGGGCCCCGTGGCGAAGCACAGCGGTGAGAGTGGATGAGACAGGTGCAGTGCTGGTGACACGCCATCAGGTTTGCAATAACTCTTTTTTGCAAAAGGTCCATGCTCGTGACGAGCATGGCTTTTCTCATAACCTCTCCACACGTCCCGTTTTCTTCCCTTTGCCCTCCTATCGCATGTCCTATCTCAAAAATACTCTATCCATGTTCCGACGTCTCCCCTGTTAAAGGACTAACTTAGGCTAAGAAGCCATAGCTAAGTTTTATGGTAAAATGAGAGTAGCGAGACGTTTTGCCAAAGGAAAGAGGGGTTGCACTAGCAGGCAGTTGGGATACAAATAGCAAACCCTAACCGAACTGTACTCATTATAGAGTACCCCACTGCAGACTAGACAAATATCACATTCTGACATCCCCATGTTTCATGGCAGGACGAGGCTGCTGCGCGGATAGCCTTCTCAGTGCTGAGGGTCGTGGCACGCCACCCGCTGCTGCATGCTACAGCCGTGGCTGATGCGGGAGGCATTGCCGCCGCTGTCTCTCTGTTGGGATCACCTGACTTTACGACAGGGCGTCAGGTGCTTTCATTGTTTTTTGGCACCTATTGTTTCGATGTACTGATCTCGTCTCATGCCAACAATGTTTTTGCGCATTCGTTCCCACCCCTCTCATGCACACTTTCAACCCTTTCTGATCACCTGCTGTCCTCCGCAGCACCATGCTTGCTCCTTCCCCCCGTTTCACCCTGCAGATGCCCTCCCTTCGTCCTGCATTTGCCGGTAAGTCTTGTTTGCCTTGGCAAATTTTCAAAAGTGAACAAACGGAATTTGCTTCCATCTTTACAATGGGAACGTTTGAAAACAAAGGAGCTGCCATCAGTGGAAATCATCAACCTTATTTTCCTTCTTGTTTTGTAAACTAACCAGATGAAGCTAACGATTATATCAAGAGTGGAGAAGTGCCACTGAGCACGAGCAACTGCTTAGCACAGCACTTGTCTGGGAAAAGCTTGATATGTATACAGCACCATGTGTTAATGTTTTGACATGACTGAAAGATTGGAGCCCTGCATATTATGTAGGTTTCACATTATGTGAATCAAAAACCGACCAGCTCTAGGGTACACTCTCTTGTAGGAAGGCACTCTTTATTTGATTTTTTCTACAGCTTTTGGAATGGTGTTCTCCATGACCATCTAAATCTCGCTCCAACACGCCTGACCTTTCTACGGTTTTGACTAATTGAATAATCATAAGCATGCTACCCTTGAACTTCATATGTAGCATTGTAACAGCCCCAAAAAAGGATGTCCCCAACACCATCATTTTCATCCGGGGAGCACTTTAGACGAATACACGGGTGCGGCAATTATAGTTAACTTCGAGAGCAGTTGTATGAAGGTCTTTGCCTCATGTCATCAGGGACCGCTAGTTTCTTCAGTTTCTCCAAGCCCACGCCAAGCAGAACAAGGAGCAGGACACCAACCAGGAGGAACAGACATGGTAACCGCAGGACAAAGCAGTTTTCCCGCTTTGCGGAGTTTCTAGCGGGTTTGCGGAGACTATTTGCGCGTTCTGGTAGCCATCTCTCGGACGATCGCAAGGCAGTTCCTCGATGTCAAAGCTACGAATCTTCAGGGCGTTAGTGCCCTCGGCTCTTCTTTTTGACTCTTCCGCAGCAGCCTGGACAGCAGCAGGGGCTGCAGCGATTTCTCAGGCCGGAGGTCTTATCGCTCAGTCGTCGCAGCATTGCGCCGATCTTAGCCATTGCTTCGCTACTGTCGCTTCGCCTCATCGCAACCAGCAAGATCCATCAGCAGAAGCAGAAATCGGTGGCTCGAACGATCAAGAAGCCGATTCGCTGGTGTTGTCTGGCGCAGGTGACGACGGAAGCCGATCGGGCGCAGAACGAGCCGCAGGTTCATTAGATGGACGGTCAGACGGGGACGATGGGTTTCGTGTTAGGTCGGAGCCGTGGATCTTCAACCTGACCGAGATTCCACCTGATTCGACGGCTGCGCGCTTGTCAGAGGAGAGTAAGGAGAACATGTGGCTGCTGCATCAGAAGGATCCGGGTCATTGGAGCGTCGCACGGCTGGCTCGCGAGTATCGCGTGCGACAGCAGCGAGTGCATGCGATCCTGTGGCTCAAGGATCTGGAGAAGAAGATGGAGGAGGAGCAAGGCAAGCCTCTTGATGACTCCATTGCAAAGGAGTTCGAGAAGCAGCATGGGTTCGTCTCTTGGCCTTGTAACGACTTTTGATTCTGCGGGCTTGAACGCGTGTCACATCTTCTGCACACTTCATCGTTCATTCCCCGTTTTGTCTCCGCTTCCAAGCACCATCCGTCCTCCATCCTGTCCCCCTATCCCAACATGTCCCACATGCCCCCCCTCTCTCTCCTCCCCTTCCCCCTCCCCCTCTTGCTTGCTGTCTTCAACTGCTCCCCCCCGTTTGTTTCAGCTCGTACGACAAGGCAGTGGGAGAGCGCCATGTGAAGATCTACCCGAGTGAAGCCGTGGACTCGCTTCCTGAGGGGCCGGAGAGAATGAAGCTGCTTCTACAGGAGTCTGAGAAGGAGGAGATATGGAAACTGGACGAGTTTGTCAAGAGAATGGAGTTTAACAAGAAACAGGTACTCAACTGTCTCATGCTTATGCGCACACACATGCACATATGCGAGTGTCCACCCACTCACACAGAGCAAATGACTTTTTTCATAGCTAATGTTTCCACGCTGCACCATTCTATACAAATGCTGGGCTTTTGTAGCTTATTCCTCTTATCCTCTTGTTGAGAATTTTGTGTGACTTTCTGCTCCAGATGGCTGATGGGCCAGTAAAAGTCAATGCCCTGGAGCGCCGTAGGCCTCCAAATGGCTGGACTTACCTTGTGGAAGAGCTTGGGGAGGCTGGCCGACGCGGTCGTGGCGGAGGCTATCGCTTTGTGGTTGAGCCAGGTGCCCGGCGGCGTGGTTTAACTGCTTTGGAGAAAGAGTTTCTAGAGCGGGAGACCACACGCAGGCGGCGTCGTCTCATTCCAAGATAGGGGGCGGTTTCCCAGTCGGCCATCTTTCTTTGCAATTCGTTCATAAGCGTTAGTGCGCCTGATTTCATCGTTAGTTACAAGCTGAGAGTAAATTGATGTTCATTTTAAGTCCCTGTGAGAAAAGTCTCACATGGTAATGATAAATACCCTCTTCATCGATTTGTACAAATCTGTGCTGCACTCAACTTTCATGGTCAACAAACGTCCCGTTTACCAACGGGCCTCGGGAGCTGTTCCTTCCCCTCGTTTCTCGCGCCGAAAACTCGGTGCTCCATTGGTTGCGGCTTGGTTCGGTCCGAATCGGTGGGCTGTCAGGGACAGAGGAACCGACCTGACAAGGTCAGTTCCCCCCCAACCCGAGTCGCTACTTGTAGGCTTAGAACCTGCTTTATCTCACTTTTTAGAAGGAGGTTTCTGCTTGTGCGGAGCGCAAACACTGAATCTTATTGATCTCATAGTTTTGTATCATTGTAAACCTATGCACTGATCCGTCACTAGAACTTCGGATAATATACCGCATTTGATCTCCCGTCGCGCATGATAGCTCTCATTCGATGCTTCATGCTTGACTGATGTTTCATGATTTCAGGTTGCTTTGAACTTTGTCACTCCGCCTTTGACAATCCACTGCTTTTCATCTTGATACGGATGCGCTGTCGTCCTCATGCTTCGTGCGTTGCTTGATGATCACTGATTGACGTTTTTCTTAACGATCGCCTAGCTTTTAAGAAAGAAACGACATAGAAAGCCAACTGAGACGTCCTTCAGTCAAGAATTTGACATGAGGTCTCTCAAAGGAAAGCATGTGGCCATCACCGGAGGATCAAGTGGAATCGGTCTCGCGTGCGCTAAACGCTTCTTTCGCGAGGTATTTTCTGTTCAGGCTAGCTACTGCTTTTTCTTCATTGCTTCATGCAGAGCCGTAATTATGTCCCCCTTTTTTTGAGAGAATTGTTTGTGCCTTCTTTCTGCTGACGCAGTCCGAGCATTTTTCTTTGTCGCCCGTAATCACCACAGGGTGCTAATGTGACATTGATAGCTCGAAATCACAAGAAGCTGGTTCAGGCAAAGAATGAAGTGGAAGCTTGCCTTGACAACGCAACAACCCCTTCAAGCAGCACCAAGGCCACGCTCATCTCCCCTAATCCGTGGGTATCGATCAAGGTTCGTCTCAAATTGACAGACACACCTTTCTGTCAAAGTTCTTCTTGTATAGAATGTTCCTACTTGTATAGTTGAAACCTTCTCGCACTACAAGTGTTCGTAACTTGTTAAGCCTCTCTAGCATCCTCCGTCGGTTCCTTACTTTCCTCATTCCCTGCATTTTTCTAACGCTTCCAGTCCGTGGATGCGACTGACCAGGCGGCTATCAAGGCAGCGATCACATCAATAGATGAGGAATGCCCGATTGACGTTCTGCAGTGCAACGCTGGGATTGTGAGGACCGGATTTGTGGAAGACATATCGGCTGAAGACGTTCAGTCTCAGGTTCACACCAACTTCTTGGGGAGTGTCTACCCAGTGCAGGCTGTACTCCCAAGCATGAAGGCTCGGGCCGAGGCTGGGGAGGAGCCTGGTGCTATTGTATTCACGTGCTCTCTAGCAGCCCTGGTGAGCATTTCGGATTGATTTTTCATGCATTTGCGCTTACGTTCTGACTATTCCATCCATCACCGTTGTATTTCTTTCAGCTGAGCTAAGGTTGGAATCTGCTCGTTTTCAACATAGTGGTGCTGTTACAGCCTGATCCTGACACTCGCTTTCCGCTTGTTTTACAGAGCTTCTGGTATGGAGCTTCTATATATACGGCCACTAAGTATGCGGTCAGAGGATTTGCTGAGGCTTTGCGGCTTGAGGTTCTCCCATACAACATTCAAGTGTCTCTGATCTGTCCAAACTTCACAGACACTGCACTACTGGATGATGGTGAGCCAATCTGCCTTAGCTTCTCCCCTTTGCTCTTTCTTTGTCATCTTGACATCTCACAATCGTTTCCACCCTCCTCCCTGATCTGATCTGCCTTTCACCCCAACAGCCGAGTTCACTGGCAAGCATTTAACCAGATCCATGAAAATCGCATGCTTCTATGACCGCAACAATGTCGAAACTCCAGACTCCATAGCTCAATGCACCGTAGCGACTGTTCGTTCTGGGGAGTTTTTAGTGGTCACGACACATGGCATTGTCCCACGGACACTGTGCTCCCTGTCTAGAGGGATTTTCCCATCTAACAACATCTTCATGTGGCTGTTCGAGATCTTCTGGGCATTCGGCTCCAGGATTGTATCACTGCTGGTCCGTGTGCTCATCTTCTCTGGGTTGCGGGCCATCCACAGGCAGCAGCAGCAGGAGCAACGGCAGCTTGAGAAGGGGTCGCAGCAGCAAGCAGGGAAAAAGAGGAGTGGAGCCGTGTCATAGAAACCCATGAAAGTTCAATGGCCAATCAACATGGCAATGTGCTCCAGGTCCATGTGCCATGATACTGATCCTTCATCAGCCCTTCTAACACATTGGTCAAAGCCCACTTCAACCTACTAACAGATACCTTCTCATGCAAACCATGATATACTAACAACAATTTGTATTTGCAGGGACATTATCCTTGCATGCTGACCTGCTTTATTTCGAGGCTGGATCCAATGTGCCTTGTACTCATCACTTGGATGTGTGGAGGTTACGGTGTGTGCAAACACGCAAGTGCAGGAGGCTCTGATTTGAAACCTATATCCATTGTGAAGACTGCTCAAATCACATGGAAAAGGGATGCGGTACTCATGTCCACTAGTCACCAAAAGTACGGTACAGCAGCAGTGCGCAATATCAGTCCCCTCTACCGTATGTGGCTCATGCGTGCTGAGGACATCAACAGGCTGGTATCAGCAGTGTAAGAGGAAGGCTGTTCCCATAAATATAGCATCATGCACACCCATTAGTGATGACCAATACCAACTAATATGCTAAATTCTAATGGCAGGCTATTTACCACTGATTGCGTGAAATGGCGGTGAAGGTGCTATCATGTACCGTATCCCAAGTAAGAGATATGTGGCACCTCAAAAACAGCTCAACCATTATGGTTACACATCATGTGAGCTTGACCGCATAATACTGGGACCAATGAAGAAGTTTTTCTGTACAGCGCGAAGAAGGCGATCTGGAGACCAGCGATACGAGGGAATGTTTGTCAAGATGTCCCTGTATGATGGAGGTAAGACATAGAGAGACCGAAGTGAAAGGAGAGGGATTCTGACAGACTGAGAAACAGCTCGCGAAAAATAAGGAGCATCCAACAGCCAACTGAAGGTATGCAGGCATGTTCATCTACGGAGCGTACACACTCAGCTTTGTTGCAGATGCATGCATGGGTAAAATGCCTGTGGATCACACATGTGGGGCTCATGAGCACATTGGAAGGATGGGGTGAGGAGGCACCTATGTGGAATGAGAAAGTCTTTGTATTTGTCATGCAGCGTTGTAGCCAGTAGTTGTCGAATGTTCCTGCGTGTGCTGATGTGCACTATGTTCCAGCTGCCCTGCAGCAATGCCAGCTCCTCAAAGGCTGCATTGAACCGCTTTAACCTGTCATGGGGTACCATGCGGGGCCAGAGCAAGGTAGGTAAGCAAGCGCGAGGTGGGATGTGTGTCACCAAAAGACTTGAAAGGCGACAAGATCCGATGCACTGACCTGATCCTGAGCTCCTGTGCATTGAGCTGGAAACTGGCCTCCATACATAGAAGGTGAGAACATATCTGGAAGCATAAAGAAGGTAGTGCATGGAGAGATTTATGTTGGAGCGTATGGTATGGGTGTGGCTGGCATGACTGGTATGTGCCAGCGTAACTACTATATGGCCGCCTGTGCGTTGCCAGGAGTGCACAGAATTGAATAGCAGAGCTGTAATTATATGCGCTCTACTCGCACGAGGAGGCTTACCTTGGCAGTGATAGCGTCTATAAAGGCTTGTTCACACTCCTTAAGCCGCTCAGACTGTTTCATAGCCTCCTTCATGCTCGTGCTTGCACTGCACAGTGAACAGAGAGCAGAGAGCAAGGTAGAGGTCACAACCCTTGTGAGAATGTTTTTAGCTTTGGGTAGTTGAGTCGATCGCTACCCGACCCATTGCTCTATCCGCAACTCATTAACCAGCGGATCAATGGTTGAGCGGCCGGTTCCATGCAAACAACAGTCTTGCACTCACAGAGAGTTGGAGACATAAGCAGTGTTGTTGAGCATGAAGAGAGCAGCAACAGTACTCTCTGCAATGACCTCTGCCCGCACTTCCATGTTGCGGTGCAGCGCTGCCAGCAGGTCACTGATCTCCTCGTTCAGCACTCTTCTGGTGCCTGTCTCTCCTCCCCTTCGCCTGTAGACGCTTTCCAGCATGCGAGCATAGCGAGAGCCATCTCTGGGAGAGAGAGGTGAGAGCGAGGGGGTGAGGAGAAAGTGGATGACGGAGGGAGGCCGGGGTGTGGGTGGGGTGACGTGACGAGAAAGATGTGCGCGTCTTTGGTCTATGTATGATAGCATGGTTGGTGGGTGCATATAGAAACACACGCACTTCTTGGTTTGTACCACTCGAGTCCTGATCACATGACCAGCCCTATCCTCTCAGTAACATGGTCATGGCACGGCTATAACTCACTTGCGCAGCAGCTGGTTGACGTAGTTGACAGTGTAGCTGGTGATAGCATGCACTGCCACATCCGTCTCTTCCCTTGACCTCTCCTCCGCTGGTGCCTTCCACAACCTGCCACAGCCCGGACAGGAAACATTCTACAGCTTCTCAGTGGGGATCCACATCGTGGGTACAAGGACAAGCCCCTTCCACCTTCAACCCACAGGGAAGAGTGCGGAGAGCCAGCAGCTATGGCTTCTCAAGGTGCACCCACGATGTTCAGCTTTTCAATCTTGGCACTTCTCCTGCTCCTCACCCCTCTCTATTCCGGTTCCAACCCGTTTCACCGAACTCCACCCACCTGAAAATCTTCTGAGCAGACCGTGGTGATGCTGCAACAGCCATAGCCTGCTGCGCTGCACCCACATCGTTCAACCTCTCCTTGAGCTTATCGATCGACGCTATTGCTGCTGATGTCAGCAGTTTTGGCAGCTTCTTCCATTGCTCATGGGCTTTTTCCATACCTGCTGCCATCAGCACATCTTCCATCTGCATGGGTGAGTGAGTGGAGAGGGGAGGGTCAAACATGGCAGGGCGGGATAGTTTTTGAGGCGCCTTGGCGATAGAAAAACTGCTGTCACAAGCAAGTATTCCATCCGAATTGATGGATGGAGAGGAGAGGTAAGTACAGCAGGAGAGAGAGATTGTTTCTGATCCACCATCAATCAGAACAGAAAAGCTGTTGTTCTTCCTTTCCCCATTCTTTAAGATCATTTCTTGCTAACCACGATGCTGGGTGTCCACTCACTCATTCACTCACACACTCATGCACTCACTCACCTGTGACCCAAGGTCCTGGGTGGCCTGAATCATATCCAGCAGGCTGAAGAGCTTCTCCGGCTGCTCATCAGAGGAGCAGATGACAGCAGCGTTGCCGCATAGCAGGTGCAGCGCCTGCTTCAGCGCTGCTGCTCGGCGCACGATGCGGCGGAAGGAGCGGGTGGAGAGGTTGTGGGAGAACAGGAACACGCTGTCGCAGAGAAAGCGCTCTGCTACTAGCAGCACGTCCATCTGCTTGTATAGGGTATGTGGGATGGGAGGGGGGGGGATTTTGCGAAAAGGTTGAAGAGTGAACATGAAGAGGGAATAGGGTATGTTGGGACTTTGGCCACGTTTTTTTTTTTTTTTTTTTTTTTTTTGCGCTTCCCTCGTATACCGCAGATTGCAACCAACACAGGCCTTCTTGAGGTGCTGCTGCTCGGCGCACGATGCGGCGGAAGGAGGGGGTGGAGAGGTTGTGGGAGAAGAGGAACATGTTGTTGCAGAGGAAGCACTCCGCTACTAGCAGCACATCCATCTGCATGTATGGGGTATGGAATGGGAGGGAATGGGTAAGGTTCTCGCCAGCAGCTAGGCATCTCGCGCCCAGCTCTTGAGAAGGGCCTCTTGCAGGAGTATCAATGCCAGTGAGTAGTAGTCGTGGTAGTTCCACAGCAACCCAGCCTAATTTACAGCTCCCAACCAACAGCGCACTCACCAGCAGGTAGGCATCTCGTACCCAGGCCTTGAGAAAGGCCTCTTGGGAACTCCAGGACAGGGCGGAGAGGGCAGGGGCGCGCATTTCCCCCATCTCCAGAGCTGCTATGGCCGCTTCCAGGGCTGCTGCCCGCAGTGTGCTGGTGTCGGAGGTACACAGTGCACAACAGACGGTGGAGGGAGGGCGGTATGTATATTGTATGTAACAAAAGGTGCAGAGGGCAGTGGCACGCAGCTCCCCCAGCTCCAGAGCTGCTATGACTGCTTCGAGGGCTGCTGCCCGCAATGTGCTGGTGAGGTAAGTTGTGTACAGCAAAGGGTGAGTAGTGGAAGGTAGGTTTACCACATAACAGAGGGTAGAGGGAGGGAGTGTTTTGTGCAGAGGTATGGCAGACAGGAGAGGAAGGAACGAACGTGCTGCTACTGATTACCAAAACGGAAATGGAGTGGTTGATACTTAGGGGCAGGTTGGAAGGAAAAACCTGGGAGAGAGGCGAGGGAGAGAGGTCATACCAGTACTCGACCATGCACTCCTTTGCTTTGCCCCCATCTGCTAGCTGCTGAGCGATTCTTTCCAATATCGGCACAGCTTTCACAGGCAACCACGGCACCAGCTGCTGCTGCCCGTCCTCCTCCATCCCCCCTCCTCTCTCACTCCTACCCACCGCCCCTCCTGCTCCCCCTCCCCCAGCTGCCCTTGGTCTTGCCAGCGGACCAGAATCCCCCTTCCGCCCTCTGGCTCCCCCTAATCTCAACCCCCCTGCACCTGCCCCTGCTGCCCCTGCCCCCATCCCACCAGCAGGAGATCCTGTTACAGTCACATTTGTTCCGGCTTCCCCACTTAGGGCCCCTCTCATGCTTCTCCTTGGCACTACTATCGTGAAATTTGCAGCAGCGGACTGAGAACGACCATGCCTGCTGGCTCGGCTCTGCCGAGCCTGACTCGGCAGGTCTGGGAGCGGATACAAATCCTCTTCCTGCTCTGCCTGCTGTCGGTCCCTCTCCTGCTGCTTCTTCTGCTGCTCCCTCTCCCGGCGTGAGAATCGCCTTGCTCCCTCCACTGCTGCATCTGATTCGGCCCGAGCCAACTGAGAGCTTCGGTTCTTCCGAGCGTGGATCGCAGACACGGCGCTCACAATCGACGCAGGTCCGGACATCTGGACCGGGGACGGCAGCAGGTTCGGAATGTCATCTGCAGCTGGCCGGCTGCTTCGGGACACTGAACTTCCAGAGCCTGACGTGTCTGAGAGAGGAGAGAACGTGAAATTGGAGGAACACGCCCCATCTTCATCCTCATCCCCATTAGTAGCGGCCTCGTTTTGAGGACAGGCATCTCTGTTTCCGCTAGCATTTGCCCCCATCCTCATATGGGGGTCTGCTGCAAAGGTATCTTCCACTTCCACAGCTTCTAGTTCCGCAAAGAGGGGATGAGGCTGGGTTTGCTTTGGGGATACCAGCTCAGGGTTGATTGGAATCTCTACATGTGGAGCATGAAATCGATGCGCTGACCCTTTCCCTGCCCTTCCTGCTTCTGCACCTGCTATCCTTTCCCTTCCAGCGACCATAGCAGCAGCAGCAGCAGCAGCAGCACAAGCAGAAGCGCTGGAGTTGGGGGAGACCTGGGGGCTTCGGTGGCACACGCCGAAGGCTGCATGCAGGGGATCGCGTGCAAACAAGTCGTCTGACATGGTGCGCTTATGCACACTCCCTTCCTCTTCTGTCATCTCTCTGTCCATGCCATTCCCTGCCTCCTTCCCTTCACTGCCCGTCTTTGATGCCGCTCCTACGTTTCCGAACCTTCCTCTCCCTCCTCTCCCGCCTCTCCCTCCTTCCCCTACTCTTTCCCCACTCCCCCAGCTCTCTTCTCCTGTTTCGCCTGCTAATGCCGCCTCCTCTGCTGATGCATCCTCTTCCGCTGCTGCTGCAGCTGCTGCTGCTGCTGCTGCTGATCAGTTTCCCAAACGGATCCAGAGTGATGGGCGGCCGAGTTGACAGCTTCTTGAATCGCTTCACAAGTGCACTGTACTGTGCACTGTACATGGGGTTGACCGTTCTGCTGCTACTGCCCCTACTGCCGCTGCTGTCATCAATAGCGGATAGGCTCTTGCTGTACCGCGAGTTGCTTATGCTATGATGCCCAGAGCTTACTCTACCATCACCACCAGCACCAGCACCAGCACCAGCAGCAGCACCAGCAGCAGCAGCAGCAGCGGCGGCAGCAGCAGCAGCAGCGGCAGCAGCAGCAGCAACAGGTCCAGAACCAGGAGCACCATCGCCAGCAGACATTGAGCGGGGGAGAGGTGAAGCATATCGGGCACTGATGTCTAAAACAGTCTTGGCCATCGGCACTTCAAACGCCTTGCAGTGCTTCACGAGGCTATCCTTGAACTCCGCTATAAGCATCTCCATGCATCGCTCTATAAGCATGTCCACATCGCCCAGTACCTTCATCACCTCGCCTTCACTCCCAGGATGCAACCGCCCAAACCCAGATTGTCCGGGCCCAAAACCCTCGCTGGGAATCAGGCCCCCTTGCCGACCTCTCAACCCATCTAGACCACTGCTGCCGTCTACTGCTGCTGCTGCCGCTAGAGCTGATCCGAATATGGTTGGAGGCTGACTGGCCCTTCGCCCCAGCTTCTTTTTCATCACGCCTGCAAATCCCCCTTCTTCCATCGCTCCTCCTCCTGCTGCTTCTTCCCTTCCGCTCGGTGGATAAACACCATTGCTGCCAGCAGCAGCACTGCTGCTGCCATACCCCCTGCTACCCCACACTCCCATGTCGTCTCTGCTGCTCTCCCCGCCTTCGTAATATTCCGCCCTCCTCCCCCCCATGCCATCACCCGCTATCCCCCCCCGCCCTCCAACAACCCCTTCTTTGTCGTTTAGCCGCGCGCGCAGGGCCTTCTGGATGGCACAGAGGCGGGTAGTGCCGCCCAGAAAGGCGTCCAGCTGCCAGCGCGGACCGACAGCCACCACTGCATTCAGCTGCTCAGGTAGCAAGGGGAGGGTTGGGGGGTGGGACGGGGGAAACGCGGAGAGGTGGGTGGGGAAAAAGTGGGAAATGTGAGAAGGGAGGGTAGTGCGTGTTGGATTTGAGGGAGTGCATTTGCATTTCCGCGTGCCTTAGCGGGGGGAGGGGGGCCAGGGAAAGGTGAGCGGAGTGGGAGGAGCGGCGGGGGGCAGCGGAGTGGGGGAGCGGGGGGGTGGGGGGTGGAAGGGAAAGGGGTTGGGGGGAAGGGGGAAATGGGAGAGGTGAGGTAGGGCATATTGGGGTTGAGGAAATTTCATGTGCAGTGCAAGTGTGTAGCTCTCGGCACCACTACGCACAGCTGGGAGGGAGGTGGATGGGAGGGGGCGACGACGGGGATGGAGGGAAGAGGGGAGTGTGTGCAAGGAGAATGTGAGAGATCTGAGGTGCGCGCGAATGACGTGCATGAACTTCAACAGCGGTTCTAAAAAACCGTAGAAATTGGCTTCTCTCTGTCTTTTTCCTGTCGTTCCTACAGCCCTTCCCCGCAACAGCACGGCAGTGCGACGTCGGAGCTTGGGGAAAGCAACTCACCTCGTGAAGAATGGCCTTTGCTTCCTCCGCTATCGTGCGGTTCGGCGCTAGCTTGCGAGTCCACGAAAGCTCTTCCATCGACGAAAGGCGACGGCGAACGTCGCCTGACGGCCGCGTGCGGCGACTAAGGTAAGCGTTACGCGTCCGTGTGCAAGTCGGAGAGCAACAAGTCCGAAAAAGTGAGCCTCGGGTCTAAGCTAAGGTATCTGGACAGCCGTGAAACTCCGCGAGCAGAATGTACCCACACGTATTGGTTATAACCAGCTTATCGCTGCGTATAGCACGATAGTCTCTGCGAAACCAACACGAGCAGCTATCAGGACGACTGAATGGAGAGACCAACTAAAATAATCAGCGCGCAACTCAATTCAGGTGAGATGGCAGGCTGTTCGTGTGGCGCATGTGGGCCAAATCATTGCAATTAGGTTGGCCTGATTCTGTGTTGGTCTTACAAAATCAAATGCGATCCAGCGCGCAACTGTCAACGCGCTTTTGCGAAAAAGACGGCGAACAAAAGTTCGCTGTCGTGCTATCTCGTTGACGAATCAGAAGGTATGCGACAGCTGTTTCCAGTTGCGGAAGCCACGAGGTTTGATTCGGTCAAGCTGGCTCTGTTGCCAGAACTGTGGTTTCCCGATTGTGCCGATTGTGTTTCAAGTACAGGCTTCATATGCGCCAAGACAAATCTCTCATTCAGCAGGCGGCTAAGTTTAAATTAGCAGAGCATTCAATAGAGAGGTTATCTTCTCACGGAGTCTTCGAGGACGTATTTGCCTCTCCCCACCAGCCCGTCACATCCAGCACCGCCTCACCAGCTCCGCACATTCCAGCTCCGATTTCTGGGTATCTTCGGCTGTTCCTATTCTCAATTGCCCCTATCTCAATTACGCTACTTACAGATCATGCTGGCTTCTTCCCGGCTCGCTCGCTTGGCAGCAGGCCGAACAAACACCAACCACCATCTCTCGATTCGGCATTCTCGAGGTGTCATTCAGGCGCCTCAAAGCCTCAGAGCCTCAACAATTGGGAATATGGCGAGCCCGATTGGATTGAAGTCCTTTCTTTCTGGTGTCTCGAAGAGTTTCGGCTTTGGGCGTTCCGATTGGACGGCTCATTCTTGCCCTCTCGCAGTAAGCGCGAAGCTCATTGCCCCGGATGTTCATCGGCGCATCCTGACCGTTGGCTCCTGCTCGTACGAACCACGTTTGCACGTGTGCTGGCTCCGATGGCCATTGCACCGTGCTCAACCGACCCTCGCCCCGACATAGTACCAGCAGCAGCGGGGTCGTCCGACCCTTATTGTTCTGCGCGTCCAACTTACTCCTTTTCCATCAGCATCCGCCAAGCATTCTTTCGTCGCAGCAGCAGCAGCAGCCATCCAAGAACCGTTCCCTCCCTGGCATTCTACACGCAGTATTTCCTCTCCACCGTTGATCAACCTGTCCCTCCTGCGCTGCTATCCTTCGCCTCCCCACTCTCGGCATCCCGGGCTCTCGCTTTCCTCTCCTAGTGCATCCCAAAGGGTTCTCTTCGACTCGTGGGGTGTCCCTCATAACCAGTGCTCTGCAGAAGCTGCAACAATTCTTGAGGTGGCGCAGCAGCCACAGTCCGTGCCTTTACTGAGCCGTTCTGATCCACCTGAGTAAACTGTAGAGAACAGCCCACTATGGAAGGCCTTCCCACTGCTATTTTACACTCACGAGGAGGCTACTATCGGGTACAGAGGCTCCCTTCCCTGCAACACCGCCCTTCGATCCAGCAGCAGAGGAGGTTTATGCGAAAAGATGGAGCGTTACATGCCCTTTTACGGTCATGCACTGCTGTGCTGTACGTCTTGCTTGCCATTGTCGCTGCTGCGGCTGCTGCAGAGCCAGCCCACGGATACAGTGCAGCAGTGGGATCACAGAGCCATGGCGCAGCGGTGGGGTCACAGGGCCATGATGCAATGGCTGCTGCACGCGAGGGTAGGTACCGGCACGGCATGGGCATGGCTTCTCGGTTCCGCCTCGTGGAAGATAGTCCCGTCCCTTCCACTACTGCTTCTGCTGCTGCTGCTGCATCCTCATCTCCTTCCTCCTCCTCCTCCCTTTTCCCTCCCGCCTCCCGACCCTCCTCCTCCTCTCCCCCCACCTCTCGACCCTCCTCCTCCTCCTCCCCCCCTGCCTCTCGACCCTCCTCCTCCTCCCCCCCTGCCTCTCGACCCTCCTCCTCTTCATCCCGGCCCTATTCCTCCCTTCCCTCCTCCTCCCGATCCCCTTCTGCATCTTCTCGATCCACCACATCAAATCCATCAGCCACGTCAGCTTTAGATTCTGCTCCTGCAGAAACCACTGATCCCCCTTCCCCCAAGCTCCCCCCTTCCCCCAGGGGACCCACTTCAGCATCCGGCCCCCCTCCTTCAATCCCCGAACCTGCTTTTTCCTCGCTCGCTCCCTCCCCCTCTGCCTCCGAACCGGCCCTCCCTCCGCTTATATCAGAACCTACCGCATCCCCCCCTATCTCCCCCCCACTCTCCCCCTCTCCTCGCTCTTCCCCTCGCCCCCGTCGCCGCCGCCAGCCCCCTCCTCCCCCCCCCCTCGAAGCCCCAACCCCTGCGCCCGCCCCTTCCCCCGAACTCCCCCTCGCCCCCGCCCCTGCCCCCGAATCCCTCCTCTCCCCCTTCCCCGCTCCCGCCCCTTCCCCTGCCTCCACCCCTGCACCCGCTCCCTCCCCCTCTCCCTCCCCCTCCCCTACCCCCGCCCCTGCCCCCGCCCCTCTCGGCCAATCACTGCTCACCAGCTCAGCAAAATGCCCCGGAATCATCATCGACTATCGCATACTCTCTCTCACGCCCATCCCCTTCTCCGGGGCTCCTGCCTTCCGATTCACATCCAAGGTCACGCTCTCTAACGTGGGCCCCAGGCCGCTCAGGAAATGGGCGCTCTCGTTTGGGTATGTGAATCAGGAGGCGATTGGGGAGGTGGACGGGGCGGTTGTTCCTGCTGGGGTGCAGCTGCCAGTAGCAGGTGAGCGCAAAACGAGTACATGACTACACATGCGAATGGTAGACGTTTTGCCAGTTCCTCTGCTCCACTCGTATCCCTGTGTTTGGTACCGCTGGTCTCAACTTCTCTACCTTGATGCCCAATTTGGACTGGTCTCATGTCATCTTGGCACTCGAACGTTTTTCTTCTCCGTCAGGCCTTCCCTCTAATGGTCCGTATACTACATCAATGCAAGTACAATGGAATAGTGTTGTCATGGTAAGCGTCTAATCTAGCACGTGTTCCCTCACTCTCTTGCTTCTCCTTCTGCGTGCCTCAACCTCCCTCTTCTCGCTTCGTGTCTGTTCGCCCTCTTCGTTCCCGTTGCTTCCTTCAGGCAACGGTCTCGAGCTTTCCAGTCCGCCAGGGGCCGCGTTCCTGCTCACAGCCGTCCAATCAGGAGGCGACAAGCGGCGCTACCAGCACGTGGTAAAGCTCTCGGGCACGGAGGTCGCTGCCACGTCAGCAGCTGCCGCACTTCCCAGGACCATCTCTCTAGATTCTACCGGGTTTACCTGCAGCAACGAGCCCATGCTCTCTGGTAGGAACCCCCCCCCCCCCCCCCCCCCCCCCCCCCTTTTTTTTGTATGCGGGTCAAAATGAAACACTCTGTGTCTTGAAACATCTAGAAAGTTGTCTCCCTGCTGCCTGCTTTCCTCCTTTCCCCCCTCCCCCATCGCCCCCCGTACACTTATTCCGGCAGGTCGAAATGATACGCTCCGAATCTGCTGCCCCTCCACGGGCCCTTCTCAGGAGACACAAGGTTTGTCTGCCCTTCCTCTATGCTTCCTCGTCTTGTGCCCCGTCATGCTCCCACCAACTTTTTTGTCCAGTCCGTTCTTCTATTCTGATTCTGTTTCCAAAGCTAAACTTCTCCGGTTCTTTTCATACGCTGGATTTTTATGTACGTCCCCTCCCGCTTCCTACCTCTCAACCCAGTGGCACCACTGCCGCTACCAACTCTACCCATATCCAGCCAAGGGCTGCAAATACAGTGGGACGTGCTGAGCGCCAATGCATCCCAGTACACAGTGGCAGTGCGAGTGAGCAACACACAGCGCTACACTGCAGTCAGCAGCGACCCCGGGTGGTCCCTGCAATGGGCATGGCAGATGGGCGAGTGAGTGGGGGCTCAATCGTAGGCAGTGAGTGGGTTTCACGTTTCATAGGTTTAGAGTTCAGGGCTCAATTCTGATATTTGCATACCTTGTAATTCAGGCCAGAATGCCTCACATTCCTGGCTGTAAGTTCTTGGCTCAAGGACGTTTGCTCCCTGTCACTATCTCCATCCCTTCTCTCCTCACTCATCCCATGCTTTCCTGCTACCAGAATGATCCTGGAGTGCGATGGGTGCCAGACGCTAAGGCAAGGAGGTATGCCTGAGTTACTATGAGCCTGAAGAGGAACGCCTGCGTTACCATGAGGTTACACGAGAGAGCATGATCGCTTGCAGGCTACAAGTGGTAGCCCACGGCCGTACTGCCGTATTGCACGCCCTTCTCTCCCTTGGCGTCCAGGCCACCCTTTAAGCAACAACCGATTTTGAGGTCCTCGTGAAAGGATTTCCCTTCAGCTTCCCTTCACACATCCCATCTTGTCTTCTCCCTCATGCCGCGATGGTCAGACTGCATCATTCACTGCATACGTCGACAACCCACGTTTAGGCACCTCAAATTCCTTCCATGTTATGCAATTCCTCTTCCCCCCCCACACCACCAGACTGCACCTCATGCCCCGCGTGCATAGACAACCCCTCCATCACCAACCCCTACTCCTGCGATCCCATCCCAACCATCGTCGATGGCTCCCCGTAAGCTCCTCTCTTCCGCCATCGCGTTTGCCACTCACCTGCGTTACTGAAGCGAAACCATCTCCTACATTAGATGCCATCTCCTACATTTCATGCCATTTCGGTGTGTACGTGCAGGGTAGCTCTCTCCTTCGGCCAGCCATGCTTGACTTGACTTGAGTGATTTCTCGCTCCGCTTCCCCTCCTTCCTTCCTCACCCCTTTCCCTTCCCTTCTTCCTCCACTTCCACTTCCCATTCCTCCCTCCTTCCTCCACATCTCCCCCCTTCTCCCCTTCTTCTGACTCCCCTTCTGCTTGTGCTCCAGCCTGAACGGGTCTCTGTCCGCAGCAGCATATGACAATACGTCCTCTTCCACCACGTTCACCATGCTTCTGGTCAGTGTCACAATTTCTTAGCCACCTAAAATAGCGCCTCAGCTCGCAGATTGTATGTGGAGAGAATTGAGAGTTTTAGCAGCAGCGGATGACAACTCCACCTCCTCCACAACTTTCTCCATGCGTCTGGGTACCATTGCATCCCCTCGTTAGTGTCACATCCTATCGTTTATGTTGCATCCTGTTGCTAATATGACAAACATTAAGGTTCTGATTCCCCTGCTTCTATGACCTTATCCTTCAATTTCCCTTCCCAATCCTCCCCAGGCCAAGGCACAGCAGTACTGGGACCCCTCGCTGCTCACCTTCCCGGCCAACTTCACAGCACAAGTGTCGAATCAGTCGCAGGGATTCGCATGTGATCCCCCCACTGCCCTCTCCCCTGCGGCGCTTGAGACTGTGGTGGGCGGCAAACAGACCACGAACGCCAAAGGTGGGCGGCAGGTACACAGAGGGACTGTGAGAACCCTACTTGCTGTCACATCTGTTCATCCCTCGCTCGAGTTCCTCCTCTTGACTCTGCCTGTCCCTTATGCCGACCCCTTATTGTCCCTCTGCCCCCGAGTCCCATTCCCCCACCCCAGCCTCTTACGTGGTGACATGTGGCATTGTGGCGGGAAGTGGGCCTCTCCCAACCTGCTCCGTGTCAGCATCTGGTTGGTAACTCAGATCCCCCTGTAACCTTGAAGCTTGTGAATCCTCCTCGTACCCCCACAACCCTATATTACCACCACTTCTTACCCTGCTCATCTTGAACATATGCCCGCCCGTCCAGCTTCCCTCTTGCTTCTCCACATCTTCCCCTATCATTTCCTCGCCCTTGAGAATTGCTTTTGAGAATTCTCAAAAGCTGGTCCAATACCAGTTTCCCCACCGTTGTTACCCCCCTCTCGCACCACCCATTTGCTGACTTTCCAAACTACTTCATATCCTCTCTCGCCTCCAGCCCCTCCTGCACCTGCATCTGCCCAACTGCCCCCATCCCCTCTTCCCGACACCCCTTCATCTCCCCACCTTCTTCCCCCACCCACCCACCCACCCCCCACTCCCTTCCAGCCTTCTTCTACTCGTTGCTGGCCCCCAGCCCCTCCTGTGCATGCAGCTGCTCAATTTACCCCATCCCCTCTCCCCAACACCCTCTACCTCCCCACCCACCCACCCCCTACTTCCCCCCAGCCTTCTTCAACTCGTTGCTCTCCTCAAGCCCCTCCTGCGCCTGCGGCTGTGCAATGTGCTCCCATCACCCTCCCCCCCTCTCCACCCCGCACCCCCATAACTTCTGCCTTCCCCCCCCCCCAGCCTTCTTCAACTCTTCGCTCGCTCCCAGCCCCTCCTGCGCCTGCGGCTGCTCCTCCTCCAACACCAGCCAGGGCGGCGGCCAATGCGACGCCGCCATGTCAGCGAGCACAGACCCCGCTGCGACCGTGCTATTGGGCGAGGACCTGGCGGGGCTGGTGGTGCCGGGGCAGAGTGAAGGGGTGAGTCAGATGGGAGAGGAGGAGGATAGGAGGACTTGCCAAGGTAGAGGAGGAGGAGGTGGTACGAGGGAGAGGAGATATGAGGTGGTATGAGGTATGAGGGAGAGGAGAGGAGGGGACAAGCAGAGTATGGATCTGGTGGGATCGGTGGCGCCGGGGCTGAATGACGGTGCGAGTTTGATGGAAATGTACTATGATGTTGTGACTTTTGAGACGTCTCAAAAGTTGTTTTGAGGTAGAGGAGAGGGGCAAGTGGAGTGAGGATCTCGTGGGGCTGGTGATGCCGGGGCAGAGCGAAGGGGTGAGTTGAGGTCCTTGTGTATGCTGCAGCAGCAAGTGTGGTGTTTAAACATGCATGACTGCATCTCTTCCCCCCCCCTCACCCCCTCGCTCGCTTCCTCCCATCTCTGCTGTCCTTCCCTCCTTGCTCGTCTCCTCTCCCTCCACCCTCGTCCCCCCTTCCAACCTCATCACTCCTCGCCTCATCTCGGCTGTGACATTTTCGAGGCACCTCCAAGTCTTATCCTCCCACTCCTCCCTCAGTCCTTTACCCTCCACATTCCTCCTTCCACCTGCCATCCCTCACCCCTGCTCTCTCCTCCCCCACCAGAGCTGTGGCACCGGCTGTGGAATACAAGCGCATGTGACTGTATCAGATGCAGACGAAACAGGCTGGACCATGCGCGTGGCGCTCTGGAACAGTGCGCCGCCCATAATCAAGAAGTGGACGGCAGTCTTGGCGTTTCCTCAGGGCTTTGCGGAAAACCTCCAGGAAGCTTCCTCAGTGGTGGCTCGATTCGACTCGCCACCGTATGGTATGGCTTAATTTTGAATGTTAATTATTCAACAAATGACGTGACTTGTGGTTACCATAATGACTTGTCACATGTGCACTGCTCGTGGCAGTGTACATAAGCCATGTCAAGTGAGTTTGCTCAACTTCCCCACCACCATGTCCTACAAATCACACATCTGCTCACTCTCCTCCTCCTCTCCCCACCTGCCCTCCCCGCCTACCCTCCCTCCACCGCCTCCCTCGCCCCAGCGGACAACCTAATGATATCGGGAGATCCCAGGGTCAACGAGCGGCTGTTAGGAGATGGAGGCAACGTGCAGTGGACTCATCGCTTCAACCCTCCTCTCACTCTCTTCCTCCGCTGTGCGTTCCCTCCCTTCTTCCCCACAGCCGATTACCTAATGATATCGGGCGAGCGCAGCGTCAACGAGTGGTTACTGGGCGACGGTTTTTGAGTCGACTCAAAAATCGACTAACTATATCGGGCGAGCGCAGTGTCAACGAGTGGTTACTGGGCGACGGTTTTTGAGTCGACTCAAAAATCGACTAACTATATCGGGCGAGCGCAGTGTCAACGAGTGGTTACTGGGCGACGGTGGCAATGTGCAGTGGACCCTGCGCGTCAACCCTCCTCTCACCCTCCTCCCTTCTCTGTTCTCCCTCCCTGCCTCTTCCCTCCAGCCGACAATCTTATGATCTCAGGAGAGCCCAGCGTCAACGAGTGGCTATTGGGCGATGGTGGCAATGTGCAATGGACCCTGCGCTTCAACCGAACGCCCAACACAGCCGGTTACAATGCCACGGGCGGGGACACTGTAGCTGTCAGCTCGTCTGTCTTCCCATTGGCGGTGCTTGTGGGCGGCCAACAGTGCCAGATGCCGGCCTTCTTGCCGACTGCTAAGGCCGCAGGGACGGGCTGGGGCGGGGGCTGGGGTGGGTGTGTGTTGTGGAGCATGGCAGTGGCAGTGGCTGTGTGGGCGCTGCTGTGCTGACATGCGCGTCTAGCAGGTCATCCACACCGTACTCATCTGCAATGTGGGCAAGCCAGAATTGGTTGGTTGGGCATGCTCTTTTTGTGTATAGCTTTGGGTTTTTCCAGTGCTTTTGTACTTACTGAGTGCCAAACCTTGCAGCAGGCATCCTACAATTGCAATCCAGACAAACAAGAACATGGGAAGGAAACCACCATCAGCTTGACCTGCGTGGTTCCACACAACACAACAGTTAACGCCTCAAGGCAAAGAGGTAGCACAAACTTGCAATAACTCCTCAAGGCACAAACATCTCATTTATAAAAAGCACACTGATCCCCACCCAGCAACCTTTGGGCGTCAGGGTCTGGGCCTAGAGGTGCTGCAACAGAGCTGAGTTTCAAGGCGCCCTCCTCTTGGCCATACAACCCCTAAGTCTAAGGCGCCCAAACACAGTACTACCAGTACCCCTGACACAGCATGTCATGGCTTATCAACCATGACGGCAGCAGCAGCAAACCGCTCTCAGCTCCTCTTGGCCATGAGCTCGTGGTCCTCCAGGTGCTGCAGCAGCTGAGACGCCTTCTTACACACCCAGGCACCACTTGGATGCCATGAAACTGAGAGACCTCTCCCCCCCACCCCCACCCCTTCTTCCCCCTCTTAAAGCCAGCAGCTAAAAAAGAGACCCCCCCCCTTCTAGTGGGTCCACTAGAAAACTCAAACTAACTTTGTAAAGGTTTTGACGGTCGAAGTGTTGTTTTGTTTTGTTTCCCAGACGCGTTCAAACTCTTCACACGATTTTGCACAAAAAACGTCGCAAGCATGCGTCGCAAGTTGGCGACGTGCAAATCCCTCAATCACATGAGGGGGCCAATTTCAAGTGTTGCATGCGCAATTCACGCACAACAAACGCCATAGATATGTGCCTGCTGGGGCGGCAAAAATGGCATAGGAAAAGCAGAACTGCAGGAAAAAAACAGAGGGTTTCGGGTTAGAGATAAAAAAAAGGAATAGGGAGAACGAAACGTGGACGCACGGAGAGCGCTGATACAGCGAAACGTGCGGAACGGTAGGGTGTTGGGAGATGGGAGGGGAAAAACAAAGGGCGACTTGCAGGCATTTCGGGCTGAGCGCGAAAGCGCCGAGGTGGGTGACGGGTGGGGAGAGAGGAAAGGTGACGACTGCATCGAGGGCAACGTGAGAGGAGGGGAGAGAGGATAGGAATCGGGAGAGAGCAAGGGCGCCGGGAGAGAGAAAGGGCGACGGGGGAGAGGATAGGCGACGGGAGAGAGGAAGGGTAACGGGAGGGTGGAAGGGCAACGAGAGAGAGAAAGGGCAACGGGAGAGAGAAAGGGCGACGGGAGAGAGAACACGCGACGGGAGAGAGAAATGGCGACGCAGAGAGAGCAAGGGCGACGGAGAGAGAGCAGGGGCGACGGAGAGAGGGCAAGGGCGACGGAGAGAGAGCAAGGGCGACGGAGAGAGAGCAAGGGCGACGGAGAGAAAGCAAGGGCGACGGAGAGAGAGCAAGGGCGACGGAGAGAGAGCAAGGGCGATGGAGAGAGAGCATGGGCTACGGAGAGAGAGCAAGGGCGACGGGAGGGAGTTTCGGGGAGTTGGCGAGGGCGACGAGGGGAGCGACGGGATGGGAGAGAGGTGGGCGACGGGAGGGAGTTTTGAGGCGTTTGAAACGGGGGACGAGGGGAGCGATGGGATGGGAGAGAGGATGCGCGACGGGAGGAAGTTTCGGGGCGTTGGCGAGGGCGACGAGGGGAGCGACGGGATGGGAGAGAGGATGCGCGTACGGAGGGAGTTTCGGGGCGTTGGCGAGGGCGACGAGGGGAGCGACGAGATGGGAGAGGGGTGGGCGACGGGAGGGAGTTTCGAGGCGTTGGCGAGGGCGACGAGGGGAGCGACGGGATGGGAGAGAGGTGGGCGACGGGAGGGAGTTTTGAGGCGTTTGAAACGGGGGACGAGGGGAGCGATGGGATGGGAGAGAGGATGCGCGACGGGAGGAAGTTTCGGGGCGTTGGCGAGGGCGACGAGGGGAGCGACGGGATGGGAGAGAGGATGCGCGTACGGAGGGAGTTTCGGGGCGTTGGCGAGGGCGACGAGGGGGGCGACGAGATGGGAGAGGGGTGGGCGACGGGAGGGAGTTTCGAGGCGTTGGCGAGGGCGACGAGGGGAGCGACGGGATGGGAGAGAGGTGGGCGACAGGATGGGCGACGACGAGCGCAACGGAACGGGAGGACGACGGGACGGCAGAATGGGCGGGTGGCTGGACGGAGAGCAAGGGCTATGGGGGGGAAGAAGTGATCGCGTGGGTAGGAAGGCGAGAGGAGATCGCGTGAGCGACGGGACGGAAGAACGCGCGCAAAAGGATGGACTCGAAAGCTTACACTCATAGCTTTCGGATACAACACGCCGGACAATCTGATTAATACAAGTCGAGATAACGAGGGCCTAAGTCTAGACATAGCCTATGCCTAGCCTAGCTACTTAACTCCTCTTAGCCATAAGCTCTTGGTCCTGCAGGTGCTGCAGCAACTGGGACGCCTTCCGCTTAGCCCTGGGCGTGCCACTCCTCAGCAGCAGCTGCAGCGGAGGCACAGCACCGCACTGCACCGCAAGCTCTGTGTGCTCCCTCCCATTCAAACACAGCGAGAGCAGCACCGAAGCCGCATTCTCCTTGTTCCTGGGGGACCCATCTTTCATCAGCTCTACCAGGATAGGCACTGCACTCGCCTCTCCTATCGCCGTCCGCCCCTCCGGGGATGTCGAAAGGACGGCCAGGATCGCGAGAGCCTCGTCCATCATGCCAGATCGACGGTGGACGAGGAGATCCACAAGAGGGGCCACCACCCCGGCACGCACAGCTCTGGCCTTATTTCCCTGGTAGATCGACAGGTTGAAGATCGCAGTAGCAGCGTCTTTTTTCCCTCGGGTCGACCCATGTTGAAGGAGGTCCACCAGTGCTGGTATCGCTCCTGCCTGCCCGATTGAAATCTTGTTCTCATCCATGACCGAGAGCGAGAACAGCGCCGCTGCAGCGTTTTCCCGAGCCTCCATGCTGCCTCCCTTTTCCAGCACCCTAACTATGGCCGGGATGGCTCCTGCTGAGACGATCAGGCTCTTGTTCGGGTCGTTGATTGACAGGTTCAGTAACGCGGTAACCGTATGCTCCTGCATTTTGGCATCAGCTGGGAGGGGGTCTGTGAGTAGTTCGACCAGGAGGGGGATGACACCCCCTTCAGCGATTGCAACGCGATTCTCCACACTTCGCTTGGCCAGCAGTCTCACATCTACCGCAGCACTCTTCCGAACCTCCAGGTCAGGTGACCGAAGCCGGTCCCGAATCTGCATCACCTGATGGCGATCCGAGAGCGAAATCTCCGCCGAGCCTCCCTCCCCGGTCCCACCGCTCCCACCCGCTCCACCACTGGACCCACCACCCCCACTGCTCCCACCCACACCCCTACCTCCACTGCTACCACCACCACCACCACTGCTGCTGCTGCTGCTGCTGCTGCTGCTGCTACCATGCTTGCTGCTGTGGTGGCGGTGCCGGTGGCCTGAATTATGTGATCGCTTGGGCAGTTCAACGTTGTTGGCCTCGCACCATTGCTGGATGAGGCTTCGCAGGGAGAAGTTGGGGATGAGCGAGGCCGGCTGGGAGAGGATCTGCTGCGTCTTGGGGCATGTCTTGTGACCCTCCTTCAGCCACTGCTCTATGTATGCCCTGTCGTATGTCTGGTTGGAATGGGAAAGGGGGAGGGGTGGTGGGTGGGGAGGGTTGGGTGGTCGGAGTACAAGGGAGGATATAGGGGAAGCAGGAGGTAGGTGGGGGGAAATGAGGGTGCAGCCCACAGGGAGGATCGGGATGGTAATGATACATTTGACACATGGAGAAGAGTGAAAAAGGCACTGGGAGGAGAAGGATGGCGTGACAAGGGAATATGATACTTGTGACATGCACACACACCTGTCCTGTTGAGACAATCACGGGATCCCTCATAATCTCCAGTGAGATAGGACAACGGAAGTCATCCGGGGGCACCACCAGCCGCCCGGATTTCGACCGCAGCGCCGACCCAGTGCCCACGCCAATGCCGCCCCGATCCACCCCATCCTCCGGATTCCCCTCCTCCCCTCCCGACCCATCCCCACTCCCCGACTTCCTCATTCCACCACTTCCCTCCTCTCTGTCCTCCATCCCTCCACTTAGACTCACTTTAAGCCGCTCCAGTAACAGTACAATCTTTTCAACCTCCCTGAGTTTCTCAGCTTTTTTACTCTCCCAGGCAACCCTCCGTTCTGCATCGGCTCTTGAGCACATGCCATCTCCTGACCTCCCATCCCCACCTCTAGAAGAAACAGCTCCTTTCGGTGAAACCAGAGACTTAGAAGAAACAGAAGGGTCCTTCTCTTTCCCTCCCCATCGCCCGCCACTAGACCCTCCCTCCTCCTCTCCGGTCACACTCATCTCTGCCCCCCGCCTCAGCTCCTCATTCAACCGCAGCCTCAGACGTTCCATTGCGGATTCCCCACCGCCACTTCCTTTGCCCGTTGCCACAGCTGCATCCGTCTCCTCTATAAGCTGATCCTGTGCTCGTTTTAGCGAGGTTATCTCCTCCAAAACAGCAGGAAGGGAAATCAGCCCTAGCTTGCCCAGAACCGGGTCTAGTAACCCTGCTTCCACGGAGCTTAGCGAGGGTAATGACGGCAACCGCCCAGCTCCTCCCCCTGCTCCTCCTGCTGCTGCAGACCCTCCTGCTTCTGCTCCTTCCTCTCCTGCCCCACCAGGCGATAACACAGTGATCGTAACACCAGCAGCAGCAGCCTCAGCACCCTTATGAACATCCGTGTGTGTGGGAGAGAAGGAGGGGAAGGACGAGAGAACAGCCGGGGAGGGAGGAGGCGCAGAGGGGTGCGGCGACTGCGGCACTGCTGACAGGTCTATCGTTGGGCCAGAGCAGTCAGCTTCACCCTGGGAAGCAGCGGCAGAGGCGCCGTGTGGGGCAGCAGCAGCAGCAGCAGTGGTGGTGTGACGGGAGGAGCTGTTGAGAGGAGGGCCGCCCAGGCGCGGGTCGGAGAGGATGTGACGCACATCAGCGTATAGCTGCTCCTCCTGCGCGTCGTCCAGTGCCCTGCTGCGCTTCAACTGCACCTGCACCAGCTGGGTCTGATGGGCGGGAGGGGGAATGCAAAGGGGGAACGGCGGCGGATAGAGGAGGACAGGGAGTGAGGAGGAGAGGATGTGGCGCACATCGGCGTACAGCTGCTCCTCCTGCGCGTCCTCCAATGCGCGGCTGCGCTTCAACTGCACCTGCACTAGCTGGGTCTCGTGGGGGGAGAATGCAATGGGGGGGGGGGGGGGGGGGGCGCGGGGCGGGGGGAGAGAGAGGAGGACAGAGGGTCAGGGAGGAGAATGCAATGTGGGCGCATATCCCCCTTACTTAGCCTCCCATCCGCCCCCCCATCCGCCCCCCCATCCGGCCCCCCATCCGCCCCCCATCCGCCCCCCCATCCGCCCCCCCATCCGCCCCCACATCCGCCCCCCCGTCCGCCCCCCCATCCGCCCCCCCATCCGCCCCCACATCCGCCCCCCCATCCGCCTCCCCATCTGCCCCCCCATCCGGCCCCCCATCCATCCCCTCCACGCACCCCCCCCATGCGCCACCCATCTTCCCCCTGCCCATGGAAAAATCTCTTCCCCCCGCCCTTCCCCCGCCCCCCATCTGCGCACCTGCTCCTGAATCTCCTCTGAAATCGCCATCACGTTCATCGGAAGGTCCGCCAGCGCGCCGCTTAGCTCGAGGTTCACTGCGCGCATGCGCTCCGCCATCGCCTCGCGCTCCATCACCTGCGCGCACGCGGACGCGGGGAATGGCGGGAAAGGGGGCATGGGCAGGGGGAAGATGGCGGGGGGGGGGGAGAGGAGAGAGGGGGAAAATGACGCAGGAGGGGGACACGAATGGGGAAGCCCTGCTCAGTTGCATGTCGAGCGCGCGCTTTCGCTCCGCCATTGCCCCGCCATTGCCCCACGGTTCATCGTTTGCGGAACCCGCACAGCGCCGGGGAGGCAATGCGAAGTATTGAGGAGCGAGGGGTGACAGAAATCGTGATAATGGAAGAATTTTCACTCGCGTGATTTCGGAGCGGCGCGAGGCGAAGGCGAGAGTGAAATTCGGGGTGAGAGGGGAGCGCGGGGAGGGAGGAGATGATGCGGCGGGAAAGCGAGGACGCAGCAAGGTGAAGGGATGGGAGGAGCTAAGATGGAACAGCAGCAATGCATAAGGAGCGAGAAGCAAAGCAAAAGCGGACGCGAGGAGAAACGACAGATAGGTCGACTGACCATCCAGACGGATAAGGGGAAGAGGGTCGGTAAGGCGCACTGACCATCCAGATGCGGCTTCCGCTGCTGCAGTCGACGAGAATGGTCTTCGCGGCGCTAAGCGCGGCCCGCATGCTCTGAAACGCCACGACCGCCGCCGGCGGCAGCGGGCTCTTGACGTCTCTAATCTCCTCGAAGAGCGGCGCGAGCAGCTTGATCCGACGAATGAGGATCTGACACGAGCGCTTGTGGCTGCGCAGGCGATCGCCGAGCGCGGAGATCTCGTTGATGATGGAGAGTAAGGAGCCCACTAACGCCATCGATGATGACGTGGCCATGCGCGTCGACGACATGATGAAGTGATTGCGAGGTAACGATGCTTCTGTACCTGACTCGCAAGGGAGGATTAAATAGGAACCGAAGTGTTGATTAAAAAGGTCAACCTAGGGGGCAACCGGCTGATGGATTGAGCATTCTGTTCATGTAAAAGGTGAGGGAGGACTATTCAAGCATCAACTGAGATAAGTGGCCACACAATCAAGTAGCATCAGCCATAAATGTAGAAAGCTGGCTTCGGTTATGCCATGTTTGAATCGTAACAGCAAGTCTTGAAAACTCGGCTGGTATTGTACCACTTGCTGCGGTGTGGTGTGAGGACGGATAAACGGAGCTCTCAAAGGATTGGCCACGAAGAGTTACCACGAAGATGTTTCGACAAATCCTTCGTCGAAGGTTAATCAAAGCTCGTTAGCGGCGAGGACTGCCCAGACCTGGCGAAACGGCTGTTGATGGTGGTTGGTTAGCGAGATCGTGAAAATGGTCGCAGGCTCGCCCGGCAACTTCCACGCGCACTGCTACAGTGATGGCTCGGTTCGGATAAGACAACTCAGCCTCAGAAGTTGACATTGCTTGTCAGCCTGTCAGAGAAATCACTGCCAGGCGCGAGTCAACTCGCAGATGATCGCGACGTGGCGAGCTGCCGCCTTTTGGCTTTGTGGCTGGCAGGAAACTCAAGTCTGGTGCTTGAGCTGGAGGATGCTCGCATCGACGGCATGAACCGATTGACCCGATCGGACGGTGATTAGTAGCTCGATGCCAACTGCTCATACTCCTTACCATTTTTCTCAAGGCAGCGGTACAAGTCTGTTCAGGAAAATATATACAGCTCTGACGTACCTTAACTTATCCCGAAACACTGACAAGCGCATCCTAGAATTTCCGTGACCTACTCCATTCTTCGACATTTTTCTTCCTGCCTGTATGGAGCATCTCCCCCCATTTTTCATTCCCGCCAAATCACTCTCACTGACTGATTACACGAAAGTATTACAGCGTATTCTCTTCAACATGACGCATCGGCATAGTTTGAACATGTATAGAAGCGGCATCACACTGACAGCATAGGCTTTACCTCGTGTTTTGCTAATATGTAGGCACCTGCTCGCCTTATGGGCCGAGAAGTCGCAGCAGCTGGTCCCAGCGGCGCCGCCTTTCCCGGCGCATTTTCCGGAAGCAGGCTTCCGAAAAAAGAAGAACCGCAACGCGACGACGAAACGAGCGACGAGAGCATCGACGGCGGAGACGACGAGGAGGAGTGGGAACACGAGGACGACAAACGGCGAGCGATGCAATTCTCGCGGATTCTCGAGGGCGTTGTGTTTGCGATTAGCGGAGTGGCGAATCCGGAGCGCGCCGAGCTGCGCGGGAAGGCGATGGAGATGGGCGCGCGGTACCGGCCGGATTGGACGCCGGAGTGCACGCTGCTCGTCGCCGCGTTTCCCGGCACGCCGAAAGTCAGATCCGTGACTGCTGACGACGGCACGATCGTTTATAAGGTTCGCGCGATTGAGCCGAGGTTTTGAGTCGCGACGAAGGACAGCTAGTGACGGACTGTGGATTCCGCGCGCCCATCTTTTTATTCATTCATCCTGCAAAGCTTATTCTTTCTACTCTCTCTCTCTCTCTCTCTCTCTCTCTCTCTCTCTGACCCCCACCCTTTCTGTCCATGGCTGTGCTTGTCCACACGTGTGTGACTATAGCGGTGGGTGGAGCAGTGCTACAGTAACCGCCGCCTCATGAGCATCTCCCCCCACCTCTTGCATCTCGGGCGGCCTTGGCGCCAAGGCGGGCCGGCAGACAGGGACGTGGAAGACGGTGGCGGGCGGCGCAGACGAATCGTGCCGGCCAGAGATCCGGGGCAAGGGGGGAGGGATGGGGGGAGGGGGCGGGGAGGGGGGAGGGACACGGGGAGAGCTGGGGAAAGGGGAGTCGGGCAGGGGGGTGACAGGTTGGGAGGTCATGATACGGGAATGGGGCGTGGCGGAATGCAACATGAAAGAGAAGGAACAGGGGAAGGGGAGGGGGAAGGTGCGGGGGAGGGGATGAGGAGGGGGAGCAGAAGCCCAAGAGGCGGAGGCTGCTGATTCCCCCTCTTGCTGGGGGGGGAGACATGGGGGGATTGGATGGGGGGAACCTATCTGGGGAGGAGCTGGTGGCGCAGTGGGTGGCGGGGGACATGGTGCATGTGAGGGCGTTTCTGGAGGAGCAGGAGGAGCAGCCTCCGGAGGGCGAGGTGGATAGGGTGGCGCGAGAAGGCATGCTGGCGTGCTTCGATGATGCCATTGCTGGCGTGGAGCAAGGGCAGGTGAGACATGTTGCTACGTGGTGCAAGGGCAGGTGAAACATGTTGCTACGTGGTGCAAGGGCAGGTGAAACATGTTGCTACGTGGTGCAAGGGCAGGTGAAACATGTTGCTACGTGGTGCACGGGCAGGTGAGATTTGTTGCTGAATTCGGGCAAGGGAACTCGAGGGCACAATGCTATGTGCTTTGCTGATGATAGCACTGCAGTCATGAATTTGTTGGAGCCAAGCTGCAAATCTCACCTCCTCCGTGCTTCAGACTTCTATAAAAGATGTGTTTTGGGCCCCCCATCCCATCTGCCATCCCAGGCGCTCGCAGCATCGATTGCCTCTTGGCCCGTCGTGCCACGTGTGTGCTTGACCCGCAAACCTCTGTGTCCACCCTTCTGCAACCCAAGACAGATAGTTCTTCTGTGCAGCCCGCCTCACCTCCTCCTCCCTTATGTGTATCCCCCATCCATACCTCCCCATCCCATCCCAGGCGCTCGCAGCATCGATTGCCTCGTGGCCTGTCGTGCCGCGTGTGCTGGACCCGCAAATTTCTGTCTCCGCTCCTTCGCACCTCCTCCCTGCCTCGCTTCCGCCGCTGCCGATCTCCCTGGGGAGTGGGGGCGCGGGGGGAGGGGAGTGCCTGCGGGTGCTAAGACAGTGGAGGGGGGTCTACGAGCGGGAGCTGGGGCGAATGGCAGAGAAAGAAAGGGGGGGAGGGGGAGGCGGGAGCGGAGGAGGAGTAGGGGGAGGGGGAGGGAGCGGAGGAGGAGTAGGGGGAGGGGGAGGGGGAGGGAGCGGAGGGAGTGGTGCAGGGAGGGGAGAGAGGGTTGAGGCGAGTGGATGGTATGGCAGGAGGGATTGGTAGGGAAGGGGGAGGGCATGTTGGTGATGGTGGTGCTTCTGGTGCCAGCAGTGGTGCTGCTGGTGCTGGTGGTGGTGGTGCTGCTGCTGGTGCTGGTGGTGGTGGTGGTGCTGCTGGTGCTGCTGGTGGTGGTGGTGCTGCTGCTGCTCCTGTTGGTACTGCTGCTGGTGGCAGTATGGGCAGTGGGAGCAGAATTGATGCTGCAGGCTCTGCACCAGAAGAGGGGGAGAGGAATGCAGGGAAGGGTGATGGTCGCAGCGGTAACCCTATTGATGACTTCGAAACTGACAGCTGCTGAGAGTGGGGAGCGGGGGAGGGTGTTGCAAAGCGAGAGCAAAGCTGTTTGCAGTTCTAGTGTCATTGGAACGGATTCTAGTGTCTGATGTGAATAGTTTCTAGTCCAGTAATGTACAGTGGGTTGTGTGTGATTTGTTTTTGTTATTTTGCAAATTCTATATCCTACATGCACAGTGTTTCACATACTAACTCTTCCAGACATGTCACATTCACGATCGCACTTCACATTCCAGTGAAGAGGAATGTATCGAAGATAGTGAGTAGTAGCGTATTCGCCATACTGAACTAGCAGCTGTCGCGGTGCGGCGTGGCACGATCCGAACTCGTCCGAGCTTTTTGAACTGATTCAGTTCGTCGCCTCAATCTCCTCTGACATGGCCGCTCGCCCCGCTCGCCACGCTCGCCAGTGTGAAGCAATTCCGGAGTTTCTCTGACGCGTCGCAGAATACGTCGTTAACGACCTTCTTTGAATTCAAGACTCTTGAACAAACTTACAGCCTGAACAAAGTTCGCGTCGCTTCCTGCCATGTGTTTTTGAGACGTCTCAAAAATGGCTTGCCATGTGTCATTAAAGACCTTTCCGTTTTCCCCACGAGCAATCGTGAACATTCATTGACGCTGTCAATCTGAGGAGTTTAATTTAGCGGGTTTCACGCGGCTATCGCTCCTTCTTTCCGCTACGGCTACTGCACGCCAGTACCTACCCGCCGCAGTCGCAGTCGGTTTGAGGAGTTCAGAGAAGTTTGACGAGCGGGTTTCACGCGGTTATCGCTCCCTTTTCCGCCATGGCCACTGCGCGCCAGTATCTCCCGCCGCATTCGCAGCGCCAGCCGCAGTTCTGGCGACCAGGAGCGGCGCGGCCGGGCGAGTCGCTCGCGTCTCGGGCGTCGCTAGCGGTTGACGCGGACGGCGCGGATGCTGACGTGTCGATAGCCTCGCTGGCAAGGTGCGACAAGACTCTCAGCGTCGCTCTTTCCGTCTCGCTGTCGATAACCTCCCCGTTACCATCAAACCTCCCTGTTACCATTACACCTCCCCGTTACCATTACACCTCCCTGTTACCATTACACCTCCCTGTTACCATTACACCTCCCTGTTACCATTACACCTCCCCGTTACCATTACACCTCCCCGTTACCATTACATCTCCCCGTTACCATTCCACCTCCCTGTTACCATCAAACCTCCCTGTTACCATTACTCCTCCCCGTTACCATTACACCTCCCTGTTACCATTACACCTCCCTGTTACCATTACACCTCCCCGTTACCATTACACCTCCCTGTTACCATTACACCTCCCTGTTACCATTACACCTCCCCGTTACCATTACACCTCCCCGTTACCATTACACCTCCTCGTTACCATTACACCTCCCCGTTACCATTCCACCTCCCTGTTACCATCAAACCTCCCTGTTACCATTACTCCTCCCCGTTACCATTACACCTCCCCGTTACCATTCCACCTCCCTGTTACCATTACACCTCCCCGTTACCATTACTCCTCCCCGTTACCATTACACCTCCCTGTTACCATTACACCTCCCCGTTACCATTTCACCTCCCCGTTACCATTACACCTCCCCGTTACCATTACACCTCCCCGTTACCATTACACCTCCCTGTTACCATTACACCTCCCTGTTACCATTACACCTCCCCGTTACCATTACACCTCCCCGTTACCATTACACCTCCCTGTTACCATTACACCTCCCTGTTACCATTACACCTCCCCGTTACCATTACACCTCCCTGTTACCATTACACCTCCCTGTTACCATTACACCTCCCCGTTACCATTACACCTCCCCGTTACCATTACACCTCCCCGTTACCATTACACCTCGCCGTTACCATTACACCTCCCCATTACCATTACACCTCCCCATTACCATTACACCTCCCTGTTACCATTACACCTCCCTGTTACCATTACACCTCCCCGTTACCATTACACTTCCCCGTTACCATTACACCTCCCCGTTACCATTACACCTCCCCGTTACCATTCCACCTCCCTGTTACCATCAAACCTCCCTGTTACCATTACTCCTCCCCGTTACCATTACACCTCCCCGTTACCATTCCACCTTCCTGTTACCATTACACCTCCCCGTTACCATTACTCCTCCCCGTTACCATTACACCTCCCTGTTACCATTACACCTCCCCGTTACCATTTCACCTCCCCGTTACCATTACACCTCCCCGTTACCATTACACCTCCCCGTTACCATTACACCTCCCTGTTACCATTACACCTCCCTGTTACCATTACACCTCCCCGTTACCATTACACCTCCCCGTTACCATTACACCTCCCTGTTACCATTACACCTCCCTGTTACCATTACACCTCCCCGTTACCATTACACCTCCCCGTTACCATTACACCTCCCCATTACCATTACACCTCCCCATTACCATTACACCTCCCTGTTACCATTACACCTCCCTGTTACCATTACACCTCCCCGTTACCATTACACTTCCCCGTTACCATTACACCTCCCCGTTACCATTACACCTCCCCGTTACCATTACACCTCCCTGTTACCATTACACCTCCCTGTTACCATTACACCTCCCTGTTACCATTACACCTCCCTGTTACCATTACACCTCCCTGTTACCATTACACCTCCCCGTTACCATTACACCTCCCCGTTACCATTACACCTCCCCGTTACCATTACACCTCCCCGTTACCATTACACCTCCCCGTTACCATTACACCTCCCCATTACCATTACACCTCCCCATTACCATTACACCTCCCTGTTACCATTACACCTCCCTGTTACCATTACACCTCCCCGTTACCATTACACTTCCCCGTTACCATTACACCTCCCCGTTACCATTACACCTCCCCGTTACCATTACACCTCCCTGTTACCATTACACCTCCCTGTTACCATTACACCTCCCTGTTACCATTACACCTCCCTGTTACCATTACACCTCCCTGTTACCATTACACCTCCCCGTTACCATTACACCTCCCCGTTACCATTACACCTCCCTGTTACCATTACACCTCCCCGTTACCATTACACCTCCCTGTTACCATTACACCTCCCCGTTACCATTACACCTCCCTGTTACCATTACACCTCATTACACCTCCCCGTTACCATTATACCTCCCCGTTACCATTACACCTCCCTGTTACCATTACACCTCCCTGTTACCATTACACCTCCCTGTTACCAGCTGTTCCCTTTATCAGTCCCTTTGGGCAGAGTGGGCTTGAGAGGCTACCAGTTTTGAAGCACAGAGCCTTCTGTGCCTTCTGTGGGCGTGAGTGGGTGGATTCTATGCCTTCTGGAGACCCACTCTGTCACTGTGGTGGTCTGGATTCATTAGCCTGCCTTTTCGTCCTCTCCTCCACTCCTCATTATCAGTCCCTTCGTGCAGAGCGGGCGGGAAAGGCTACCAGTGTTCAAGCATAGAGAGGCGATCCTATACCTGGTGGAGACCCATGCTGTTACTGTGGTGGTAGGGGAGACTGGCAGCGGCAAGACCACTCAGTTACCGCAGGTGAATGTTCGTACGGTGAAGGCATATGAAAGAGGTGAACTCTAGATTCAATGGGGTGAGAGTTTATGAGTTGAATGCTCATTCATCGTGCTTCTGTGTTCCGCGTTGCAGAGGTGTCCCTCTTTACCACCTTCACCGAATTCAAATGCCATGGACAGCAGCAGTAGCATGACATTGAGTAACGTGCCTGCCGCTCCATCTACAGCGGATACGACTTTTGAGGCGCCTCAAAAGACGTGCCTGCCTGCCTGCCGCTCCATGTACCGCGGATACGTTGCTCCGTTTTCCCAATCTCTTCCCGTTCCCCTTTTCCCCAACCTTCTCAGCCTCCGCATCTTCACAAAATTCCCCCATTGATGCCCTGGCAATACCTGGTGCAAGCAGGGTGGGCGGCAGTCTAGTTTGAAAAGGCTTGTGAGAAGGTTTGTGAGAAGCTTCCCCTTTTCCAACACCAGCTCCCTCTATTCCACCACCCCCGCTGCCCCTCCAATCCCATTGATGCCCTGACAGTACCTGGTGGAAGCAGGGTGGGCGGCAGGGGGAAGAGTGGTGGCGTGTACCCAGCCCAGGAGAGTGGCGGCTCAGGTGAGTGTCAGTTTGAATTGAGTGGCGGCTCAGGTGAGTGTCAGTTTGAATTGAGTGGCGGCTCAGGTGTGTGAGTGTCAGTGGCAGAAGGGATGGAGTGCCGGGTCAGGAGGGAGAGTGGTGGCGTGGCGTGTACCCAGCCCAGGAGAGTGGCAGCTCAAGTGAGTGACGACTCAGGGGGGTGGCCGCTCAGGTGAGTGCCAGGTGGAACGGAGTGCCATCTCAGGAGGGAGAGTGGTGGCATGTACCCAGCCCAGGAGAGTGGCAGCTCAAGTGAGTGTCAGGTGAATTTGAGTGTGCCCCTTAGACCCTGCTCTGTCCTCACATTCGCTTCTCTTCCTTCCCCTCACGGACACTCCATCTCCCTCCACCCCTCCTTCCTGCCCATCCCCCTCCTCATTTCCAAGACGCTCTCCGTTTCTCCGCTTCCACCGATTCTCTGCTTGTGTGAGATGCTGGCATGCATGGTTGGATTTTTTAAGTCGACTGAGTAGTCATGTTCGCTCTCCCTCGTTCCTCGTCTAACCCCTTGTGCTCGTTCCTCGTCTAACCCCTTGTGCTCGTTCCTCGTCTAACCCCTTGTGCTCGTTCCTCGTCTAACCCCTTGTGCTCGTTCCTCGTCTAACCCCTTGTGCTCGTTCCTCGTCTAACCCCTTGTGCTCGTTCCTCGTCTAACCCCTTGTGCTCGTTCCTCGTCTAACCCCTTGTGCTCGTTCCTCGTCTAACCCCTTGTGCTCGTTCCTCGTCTAACCCCTTGTGCTCGTTCCTCGTCTAACCCCTTGTGCTCGTTCCTCGTCTAACCCCTTGTGCTCGTTCCTCGTCTAACCCCTTGTGCTCGTTCCTCGTCTAACCCCTTGTGCTCGTTCCTCGTCTAACCCCTTGTGCTCGTTCCTCGTCTAACCCCTTGTGCTCGTTCCTCGTCTAACCCCTTGTGCTCGTTCCTCGTCTAACCCCTTGTGCTCGTTCCTCGTCTAACCCCTTGTGCTCGTTCCTCGTCTAACCCCTTGTGCTCGTTCCTCGTCTAACCCCTTGTGCTCGTTCCTCGTCTAACCCCTTGTGCTCGTTCCTCGTCTAACCCCTTGTGCTCGTTCCTCGTCTAACCCCTTGTGCTCGTTCCTCGTCTAACCCCTTGTGCTCGTTCCTCGTCTAACCCCTTGTGCTCGTTCCTCGTCTAACCCCTTGTGCTCGTTCCTCGTCTAACCCCTTGTGCTCGTTCCTCGTCTAACCCCTTGTGCTCGTTCCTCGTCTAACCCCTTGTGCTCGTTCCTCGTCTAACCCCTTGTGCTCGTTCCTCGTCTAACCCCTTGTGCTCGTTCCTCGTCTAACCCCTTGTGCTCGTTCCTCGTCTAACCCCTTGTGCTCGTTCCTCGTCTAACCCCTTGTGCTCGTTCCTCGTCTAACCCCTTGTGCTCGTTCCTCGTCTAACCCCTTGTGCTCGTTCCTCGTCTAACCCCTTGTGCTCGTTCCTCGTCTAACCCCTTGTGCTCGTTCCTCGTCTAACCCCTTGTGCTCGTTCCTCGTCTAACCCCTTGTGCTCGTTCCTCGTCTAACCCCTTGTGCTCGTTCCTCGTCTAACCCCTTGTGCTCGTTCCTCGTCTAACCCCTTGTGCTCGTTCCTCGTCTAACCCCTTGTGCTCGTTCCTCGTCTAACCCCTTGTGCTCGTTCCTCGTCTAACCCCTTGTGCTCGTTCCTCGTCTAACCCCTTGTGCTCGTTCCTCGTCTAACCCCTTGTGCTCGTTCCTCGTCTAACCCCTTGTGCTCGTTCCTCGTCTAACCCCTTGTGCTCGTTCCTCGTCTAACCCCTTGTGCTCGTTCCTCGTCTAACCCCTTGTGCTCGTTCCTCGTCTAACCCCTTGTGCTCGTTCCTCGTCTAACCCCTTGTGCTCGTTCCTCGTCTAACCCCTTGTGCTCGTTCCTCGTCTAACCCCTTGTGCTCGTTCCTCGTCTAACCCCTTGTGCTCGTTCCTCGTCTAACCCCTTGTGCTCGTTCCTCGTCTAACCCCTTGTGCTCGTTCCTCGTCTAACCCCTTGTGCTCGTTCCTCGTCTAACCCCTTGTGCTCGTTCCTCGTCTAACCCCTTGTGCTCGTTCCTCGTCTAACCCCTTGTGCTCGTTCCTCGTCTAACCCCTTGTGCTCGTTCCTCGTCTAACCCCTTGTGCTCGTTCCTCGTCTAACCCCTTGTGCTCGTTCCTCGTCTAACCCCTTGTGCTCGTTCCTCGTCTAACCCCTTGTGCTCGTTCCTCGTCTAACCCCTTGTGCTCGTTCCTCGTCTAACCCCTTGTGCTCGTTCCTCGTCTAACCCCTTGTGCTCGTTCCTCGTCTAACCCCTTGTGCTCGTTCCTCGTCTAACCCCTTGTGCTCGTTCCTCGTCTAACCCCTTGTGCTCGTTCCTCGTCTAACCCCTTGTGCTCGTTCCTCGTCTAACCCCTTGTGCTCGTTCCTCGTCTAACCCCTTGTGCTCGTTCCTCGTCTAACCCCTTGTGCTCGTTCCTCGTCTAACCCCTTGTGCTCGTTCCTCGTCTAACCCCTTGTGCTCGTTCCTCGTCTAACCCCTTGTGCTCGTTCCTCGTCTAACCCCTTGTGCTCGTTCCTCGTCTAACCCCTTGTGCTCGTTCCTCGTCTAACCCCTTGTGCTCGTTCCTCGTCTAACCCCTTGTGCTCGTTCCTCGTCTAACCCCTTGTGCTCGTTCCTCGTCTAACCCCTTGTGCTCGTTCCTCGTCTAACCCCTTGTGCTCGTTCCTCGTCTAACCCCTTGTGCTCGTTCCTCGTCTAACCCCTTGTGCTCGTTCCTCGTCTAACCCCTTGTGCTCGTTCCTCGTCTAACCCCTTGTGCTCGTTCCTCGTCTAACCCCTTGTGCTCGTTCCTCGTCTAACCCCTTGTGCTCGTTCCTCGTCTAACCCCTTGTGCTCGTTCCTCGTCTAACCCCTTGTGCTCGTTCCTCGTCTAACCCCTTGTGCTCGTTCCTCGTCTAACCCCTTGTGCTCGTTCCTCGTCTAACCCCTTGTGCTCGTTCCTCGTCTAACCCCTTGTGCTCGTTCCTCGTCTAACCCCTTGTGCTCGTTCCTCGTCTAACCCCTTGTGCTCGTTCCTCGTCTAACCCCTTGTGCTCGTTCCTCGTCTAACCCCTTGTGCTCGTTCCTCGTCTAACCCCTTGTGCTCGTTCCTCGTCTAACCCCTTGTGCTCGTTCCTCGTCTAACCCCTTGTGCTCGTTCCTCGTCTAACCCCTTGTGCTCGTTCCTCGTCTAACCCCTTGTGCTCGTTCCTCGTCTAACCCCTTGTGCTCGTTCCTCGTCTAACCCCTTGTGCTCGTTCCTCGTCTAACCCCTTGTGCTCGTTCCTCGTCTAACCCCTTGTGCTCGTTCCTCGTCTAACCCCTTGTGCTCGTTCCTCGTCTAACCCCTTGTGCTCGTTCCTCGTCTAACCCCTTGTGCTCGTTCCTCGTCTAACCCCTTGTGCTCGTTCCTCGTCTAACCCCTTGTGCTCGTTCCTCGTCTAACCCCTTGTGCTCGTTCCTCGTCTAACCCCTTGTGCTCGTTCCTCGTCTAACCCCTTGTGCTCGTTCCTCGTCTAACCCCTTGTGCTCGTTCCTCGTCTAACCCCTTGTGCTCGTTCCTCGTCTAACCCCTTGTGCTCGTTCCTCGTCTAACCCCTTGTGCTCGTTCCTCGTCTAACCCCTTGTGCTCGTTCCTCGTCTAACCCCTTGTGCTCGTTCCTCGTCTAACCCCTTGTGCTCGTTCCTCGTCTAACCCCTTGTGCTCGTTCCTCGTCTAACCCCTTGTGCTCGTTCCTCGTCTAACCCCTTGTGCTCGTTCCTCGTCTAACCCCTTGTGCTCGTTCCTCGTCTAACCCCTTGTGCTCGTTCCTCGTCTAACCCCTTGTGCTCGTTCCTCGTCTAACCCCTTGTGCTCGTTCCTCGTCTAACCCCTTGTGCTCGTTCCTCGTCTAACCCCTTGTGCTCGTTCCTCGTCTAACCCCTTGTGCTCGTTCCTCGTCTAACCCCTTGTGCTCGTTCCTCGTCTAACCCCTTGTGCTCGTTCCTCGTCTAACCCCTTGTGCTCGTTCCTCGTCTAACCCCTTGTGCTCGTTCCTCGTCTAACCCCTTGTGCTCGTTCCTCGTCTAACCCCTTGTGCTCGTTCCTCGTCTAACCCCTTGTGCTCGTTCCTCGTCTAACCCCTTGTGCTCGTTCCTCGTCTAACCCCTTGTGCTCGTTCCTCGTCTAACCCCTTGTGCTCGTTCCTCGTCTAACCCCTTGTGCTCGTTCCTCGTCTAACCCCTTGTGCTCGTTCCTCGTCTAACCCCTTGTGCTCGTTCCTCGTCTAACC